GGACTCAGGGGCTGAACTAAGTGAGGGTGGGAGGGGAGCGCGCGCCAGTCCCTAAGCCTCGGCTCCTTCCCCCCGCGCGACAGCGGCGCGATCTCTACGAGCTGACAGAGCAGCCCCTGACGGGCTAACTGGACCCGGGCCACCGGCCGGGCGGGGTTGACTTTTGGGTGGAGGGGCGTGTCTCGCATTTGGCCCGGAACTGGGTCAGGCAGTTTCCACTTGTTGGTTTCAAATGAGTGTGAGGCTGTGGGACAGGTGCGCTCGCTCCCCTGATTGAGACTAGGAGGCGGGTCACACCCCACTCCCCCACTCCCGGGCGGAACAGGTGTGCAGCCCGCCTTTCGGGCCTGGGGAACAGGTGTAGAATCCTCCGAGGACTGATGTGAGTGTGCCCGAGTCTGAGGCTTAGATGGGGTGTCCACCTCTTAGGATTGGTGCGCACACTTCAAGGCTGGTTCCAGTTTGTCTTCGCCTGCAAGGTGTGCCCCAGAGTGAGGACAGCAGGGTGAAAAGTGCGTCTCAAAAGTTCAAGGCCTATCCTGTGCTCTGGCTAGTTCTCCAAGCGTGGCATCTGGGGAGGGAAGGAAACAGCGGCCCAGAGTATTTGTATGTACAAAATGAGTGTGCTTCAAAGGGTAGGGTAGGATGAGGTAGGCTCAGTGAGAGGTTCCATGGCTGTGGGTTATCAGGGACAGCTGGGAGCCTGCTTTAACTAGGCAGGCCCCCTTCACCCCTCCACTCCCTAGATTATTATTAGAATGGACAGGAAGTCTTGTGTCTTCTGCCCTCCCATCCTTACCACACTCTCCCCCCACTAAAAGAAAAAAAAGAAAGAAAGAAAGAAAAAAAAAAACCCAAACAAGCATGGATGTTAGCTTGTGGTGCCAACCCTACTCCAGATGTTTGTCTACTTATCTACTCCAGAGATAATTACGTGTTACTTTTTGTGTATGTCTGTGAGAGTGTGTATGTGTGTGTGTGTTAAGTATATCTAATATAAATGAGGTTGGAAGGTCTACATATGTTTAAGACATGGGTTTGCTTATGGTTAAATTTAAGCGGGGAGTAGGTATTGAATCCTCTGGTAGTAGCTGGCCTGTTCCATACAATAAAAATAAGTGGAAAAAACTTTGGTTATGGTCAAAGAGGCATAGTTATATGTGAGAGAATTCCTCCCAGAGCTCTAATAGAATAATATGTTGATTTTTCTTTATATATTTCCTTTGTATTTGGATCATCAGCAGCAGATGAATGTTTTCCAGAATATTGAGGCATCTTGGTGATTCTTAGCTGAATCCTACTATTCTATAGACATTTCAACCATTGTGACACCAAATGCCAGTTATGTATGTGAGGCCTTTTAAACTTAAGAAAGCATGTGTAACTTTCTGTCTGTTAATAGTTTTATTAGAGTTTAAATAGCATCTTGACCCACAGCTTCAGGTATCATCTGTATATATTTGTAAGATCAAATTGTTCTAAACTGAATCTTGAATTAATGTTTGAATTATCTTCATTCTGTATAACATTATTAAAGTGCATTCTTTGTTTTAGCCAGAGACTACAGAGTTTTCTTGGATTTTTTAGGTTTACTCTGGTAGCAGTTACACTTTTTTAGTCAAGATTCTCTTTGTCAGAAGTGACAAATTCAGTTCTAGTGATCTTAAGCAAAGAGATTTATGGGCTCACAAAGCTGGGAAGGGCTGGGGTATCACTAAATCCAGGGATTCAAATGATGTTCTATGTATCTCTCCCCTTCTCCAAAGGACCCCTCGGTTCCCTATCTCTGCTTCTATAATTGCAAGCCCCATTCTGTCCTATTACAGTCCTGTGTTGCTTAGAGGATACATTCTGAGAAAGTTAGGCATTTTTTTTGTTTGAACATCATAGAATGTGTTTACATCTAGATTGTATGGCCTACTACATACCTAGGCTGTATGGGATAGCCTATGGCTCCTAGTTTCCACACCTGTTCAGCATGTTACTGTACTGAATACTGTAGGCAATTATAACACAATGGTAAGTATTTGTGTAAGTATTTGTGTATCTAAACATAGAAAAGGTACAGTAAAAATATAGTTTAAAAGATAAGAAATGGTACACCTTTATAGGGCACTTATCATGGATGGAGCTTGCAGGACTGGAAGTTGCTCTGGGTGAGTCAGTGAATGAGGGGTGAGTGAATATGAAGGCTGAGGACATTACTGTACACCTAGGCTACACTAAATTTGTAAAATATTTTTTCTTTCAATGGTAAATTAACCTTAACTTACTGTCACTTTTTTACTTTATAAACTTTTAAAGTTTTTAAAACTTTTTGACTCTGTTGCAATAACACTTACTTTAAAATAGTCATTGTACAGCTTTACAAAAATATTTTCTTTGTGCCCTTATTCTGTTAGCTTTTTTCTATTTAAAAATTTTAAATTTTATTATGTTTTAGGTTTTTTTTTGGTAAAACTAAGACACACACATACTAGCGTAGGCCTACATAGGATCAGGATTATCAATATCACTGTCTTCCACCTCCACATCTTGTCCCACTGGAAGGTCTTCAGGGGCAATAACAGGCAGGGAGCTGTCATCTCCTATGATAACAATACCTTCTGGAATACCTCCTGAAAGACCTGCCTGAGGCTGTTTTTCTTATTTTTTTAAATTAATAGGAGGAGTACACTCTAACAATAAAAAATATAGTATAGAAAATACATAATCCAGTAACATAGTTGTTTATTATCATTATCTAGTTTTATGTATTATACATAATTATATGTGTTATATTTTTATTCTACTGGCAGTGAAGTAGGTTTGTTTATACCAGCATCACCACAAACATGTGAGTAATACTCCGTGCTATGACATTATGACAGCTATGTTACTGATAGGAATTTTTTAGCTCCATTATACGTAATCTTATGGAACCACCATTGTATATGTGGTCTGTGGTTGACTGAAACATTGTTATGTGGTGTGTGACTGTACATAAATGCATGAAAGATATGGCTTTAGACAATTCCTATGTTATATCATTCAAGCTTAAGTGCCCAGAGTAAAGAGAAAACTCCTACCTCTAGTACTGACAATTCCAGTAAAGGACCCTTATTGAGTACATTGGACACAAGAATATCATGTGCCTACTTTTCTGGCTAGGCAGTTAGGGTTCTAGATTGCCAGTGCCACTAAAATCACATGGTTGGAGTGGAGGAAGAGCAGATTTTCAAAGGAAAGATGGTGAAGGTGCTGGGATGTTTAAACCTTTGTTTCTCCTTCTGCAGTAAGAAGCTTCAAGCTTCCTCTTGCTCTTTCAAGAAAAAGAATAAATCTCTTGTGACTCTACATCTTCCTCATCACCCAACCAAGAGAAATTGAGATGACAGTTTCATTAGTTGGAAATTAATAAAGAAGGCCATCATTTTAGCCTATAATTGAGTAGAATCCTATCTTTTGTGCATTTAACTTACCATAATTCACCCCTACACAGGGCCTACACAAGGTCCATGTGCTTTTTAGGAGGAGTTCTTTGAGGCTGGGGTGAGTTTTTGAATAGAGATTCTCATAATAGTAGGAACTTAATAGAAGCTGCAAAGAAGTGTTGATTTTTCTCTTTCATTTCGCTTATCACCTCATGCACATATTGATATAAAACTGATAATATTAGGATTTACACATAATATAGGTATTTTTTTACTTAGTTCCCCTTATTATTTTTTGTATATTGTGATAGGGGATTTAGTTCTAGAATGGGAGCTCCATGAGGGTTGGGTCTGACAATTTATAGTAGTAACTTAGCATCATGTGCAAGAAGGGTTTAGGCATTGTTCCTTCTTCCCACTTTTCTTTTTTACATTTGTTGTTCTATATGTACTTTCTAAGTTTTAAATGATCACTTATCTCATTTAGATATTTACCAAGAGAAACAGAGAGGTTTGGACTTTTTCATCGTGGCAGCTCCAAGCACCGTAGGTTATAGTTACATAAATATGGCCATTCTTGGAAAGAAACTGTAGGGTCCAATAAGCAGCCCATTGCAATACTGTTGCATCTAACACAGCCTCTGTTTCTGAAGTCCATGAGTAAGGTGAAAATTGAGTACCCTCAAAGTACCCTTGAAAAGTACCTTGAAAATTGGGTATACGCAGAGTAACCTGTGAAGGAATATATCAGAGACTGACATATGATCTCTCAGGAAGTCCAACAGTCAGTTTTTGCTCCATGTTGGAACAGCATGCTGTTTGTTATTTTGAGCACCAATGAAGTGGATTGCTGCATATGAGGCATGCAAGAAGTGAGACATGCAAGACTGAAAGAAGAGCAACTGTCCATCTCCTATTCCATGCTCACTGTGAAGCATGTAGTTATTGAGTGGATTGGTGTGCAGAGTCTCTGGAACTATGTGAATCATTACTTTTATTTTTTTCTTTCCCTTTGCTGGAAATAGTTGAATTCTTGTAAATGGATGTATGATACATTTCCACTGTTTCATCTTGGCGTGAAGGCTGAATTAATGTAAAAGAGTATAAAATACCTGAGATTGTGGAGTTTGTGTCATGTTACACATGAGCTAAATGACCATTACAATCAGTCTTAGAGATTTTAAAAAATGTAAAGAGTGGAACTTGAACAGGTGGGAGGCTTTTTGAAGTACAGTGACTAACCATATTTTCTACTGAATGACCAGAACTGCTATTTGAGCCAGTGATGCGGTCTTGTTTGCTGCTTACAAAGGGAGGGAGAAATGGGTGGCTGGCTGGCTGGCTGGACTGATTAGCTACTGTGTAATTAGGCACTGGTAATACAGTGGCGAGCAAGGCAGATCTGGCCTTTGACCTCGTGAAACCTGCATTCCAGTTGGAGGCAAGTAATGGTGTTTCAGACAATGAGAAATAATTACAATGTGATATGGTAATGAATGAGGAGAATGAGGTTATGAGTGCATGTGAGCAGGGAACTAACCTAGTAGAGAAGGACAGAAAAGGCTTTTTTTGAGGAAGCAAAGTTTTAGCTAATACTTGATAAATGTGACCTGCAGTGGTTGACAAGCCTGATTACATGGAAGTTGAACTCAATTGTAACTTGGCTTAATGTGGCACAGCTTCCTATATGCAGTGAGTCAAATAAGTATCTTCTGAAGCTTAGCAATTACAGGTAATAAAACTGATGCATTTAATTTGCAACACAGGTGTTATACCTGTCTTCCAATTCTTGTGTTACTCAGTAGATATTTATTGAATGTCTACATAGCTATGCAAGTCAATGGGCCAAGTGATGTGGAGTATACACAGAAGCATGGCCCCATTTTTATTGTATAGTTGAGAAAAGACATAGTTATTTGTAAGTTAACTAATGATAACTTAAGTAATCAAAAAGAGGAAAATGTGAAGCTACTGTTTTAAAAAAGACATGTGTTCTGAGTTCAGAGGATGGTTAGGGAAGAAGGAAAAAGAGGTCATAGGCAGATCCAATTTGAAAAGTGCCTGGAAGGAAGGAATGAAATAAGGAATTTAGATAAATGTAGAGGAAAAGAAAAGGAAAGGTGAATCAGCTTGAGCAGATGTGGAAGCTATTCTTGCAAGACTCTGAGTGCACTTGAGTCTAGTTGTGGAGGAAGAAGGGTAAGCTCTTGTCATAGGCTTAGAGTTTGGAATTTTATTCTGTAGGTATTAAGGAACTATTAAAAATGAGTCCGTTTGTCAGAGAAAGATAATAGAAAACTAATAGAAGTCAATCCTCTATTTTTTTCTTCACAAAACCACAAGATGACAAAATAAAACAAAGAAATAGAAGAGAAATATGTGGCTTGAGGACAGAAATAATCTTATAACATTGTTTCCAAATTATGATTTTGTGATATTTTCTGTCATAATATAGTAAATTAATACAAACTTGATTTCACTATAATATGAAAAGTACCTCATATGACACTTTTAGGAAGAAAAGAATGCCAGAGAATTAAACAGGATCCTGGAACTTGAAAACAGTTGGGAATAAACATTTTCCAAGGTAAAAAAATGGGGTAATTTCCTGAGTGATGTAGGTTGCTAAAAAACGAAGAAGAAGTAAAAAGAGGGTAAGAGTTCTACATTAACCTGGCCTGATATAGGTCACATTCTAGAGTTCTTATTCAGTTGGCCAGTGTCATAATGGGGTCATTGCTGTTTATATGGTACATATCTTTTTATGGTCCTTGAAACTATCATTACTTGGCTGGGGATAACCTTAGTAAGAGGGAATACCTTTGAGAATTATCAAGATGTCAGAACTATCAAGTCTGAACTATTAAAATATTAGTTTATCAGCACTCAGAAGAGGACAGCATACTAGGTAATCATGATTCCATGATATACATTCCCTATCAGGTTACTCTGATTTCATTCTAGGAGAGACTAATAAATAGTTGATGTAATCTGTTTAGTTACCTGCAAGTACTGTCTGACGGCATCCCCTTAAGAACTATAAAAACACTAGATCACATGATGGTTCGGTGAAGAACTAGTTGTAGAATTGCATCTGAGGAAGTTATGAGTAGTTCATTATCAACCTTTGTACTGGGCTGGCACTTAAGTGATATCTGAAGCAGTATCCACATCAAGTGTGTAATATTAAGCATCATATTAAGCATTTCATCATTGGTCTATATATTGGAATGAAGAGCTTGCTTAACAAATATGTGGGCAATACTAACTGAGGGGAGGGGTTCGTATTTCAGAATGTTGGAGATGTGGCCAAAAACAAATTAATTGAAATTTGTTGGTACAATTGATCCTTGAACAACTCAGGTGTCAGGTTGCTGACACACTGAGCAAAATCCAAGTATAACTTCGATTTTTTTTGACTCCTCTAAAACTTAATAGCCTACTATTGACTGGAAGCCTTAACAATAACATAAACAGTCATTTAACACATATTTTGTATATTTACTACATACTGTATTCTTATAAGGAAGCTAGAGAAAAGAAAATGTTAAGAAAATCATACAGAAGAGAAAGCATGTTTACTATTCATTAAGTGGAAGTGGATCATCATAAAGATCTTCATCCTTATCGTATTAATGTTGAGTAGGCTAAGGAGGAGGAGGAAGGGGAAGGGTTGGTCTTGCTGTCTCAGGGCTGGCAGAGGCCTAAGAAAATTTGCATGTAGGAGAACTCATGCAGTTCAAACCCATGTTGTTTAGGGGTTAACTGTACCTTCATTTCCTGTTGCCATAACAAATCACAAATTGAGTGGCTTACAATAATGCAGATTTCTTATTTTATAGTTCTGTAGGTCACAAGTCTGACACCAGTCTTGCTAAAATCAAGATGTGGAGATAGGGCTTTCGTCTTTCTGGAGGCTCTCTCTGACACTGCTTCTGTGTCATATCTCTTCTCTGACACTCCCTTCTGCCTCTGTCTTCCATTTTTAAGGACTCTTGTGATTACATTGGGCCCACCTGGATAATCCAAAATAATCTTCCATCTCAGGGTCCTAATTTAATCACACTTGCAAAGTCCTTTTTGCTATATAAAGTAACATATTCACTCATAGGTTCCAGGGGTTAGGACTGGCACTGTCAGACTCCATTATTCTGCCTACCACAGGCAGGGTCATGGCTCAATTAATTTCTGAAAAATTCACTGAAACTGCTCTAGTGAACTTTCATTTAAAAAAAATCTGAGCATGATGACCTTTTGATTTAGCAGGTCTATTTGGGTTGGAAAAATTTGCTGACACAAAGAAAGGAATAACTGCTGATAAGTGACAAAAGAGGAACTAAGGAAGGGGACATGGTTAGCTTTACTGATGAAGCGTAGACTAATATTGATCATAAAAGAAAAAAACACAGGGACGGGGGCAAGGGCAATATACGTAACCTTAACATTTGTACCCCCATAATATGCTGAAATAAAAAAAATGAAAGAAAAAAGAAAACAACACGATTTTATAATGACTTATGATAATGAGTTCTCATTATTATAATTAAAGGTTTTTATTATGTGTCTCTGATGCTTTGGTGAGGGCTGTAATCGTCTTGGATAAAACCCTTACCATTTAGCTCATGAAGAAATTGCTATGTTACCAGATGATATCTATGTTTAACACTGGCTAGACCTTTGCAAAAATACTAAATTTTTTTTTTGAGTCTTTAACTTTAGAAAAATTTGAAAATCTTGAGATTTTAAATATAACTATTTCTTGAAAATTGTTATGTTTCTAGGCATTCTTCTAATTGCTTTATAGTCATATCATTTATTCCTCAACGTAGCCCTGCAAAATAGGTAGTTGCATTTAGAGTAAGGACTCTAAATTTTAAGTTCTGAAAGAAAGAGGGTGGGAGAAAGTATTGGCTTATGTAGCCAAACTGCCAGAAAGCTATGGGCAGAGCTAACATCATGGAAGACTAAAATTTAGGGGGGCTTGCATAATATCAGGACTCTCTTTCTTCCTCCCCTTTACTTTTTTTAGATTGATTTCATTCATTCTAGAGAATCTATACCTAGAATGTAAGTTCTGTAAGTAGAGGCAGGGCTGAGTGACACATGACACATAGTAGATGTTTAGTTGATGTATGTTAAATGAATGACTTCTTTCTGCAGAAGAGGGCAGGGTGGGGAGTGTGGGAGCTGCTCAGCCTTATTATTCATTGTTTACAGAATAGTGGAAATGACTCTTCTCCATCAGATCCATTTTAACAGATCCCAGTAAAGGACCCTGTTGTATCACGTAGTCCATTTTACTGGGGGATTTTTGATTGGCAGCCTCTATAAGAAGCCCATGGTTTGAAGGAAGCCTTCCCAGAACAAGAGGTACTATTCTGAGCAAACAACACAACTGTCCACAATATCCCATTTTCAGATGTAGAAAAAGAGGGGTTCAAAAAAGATAAACAATTGACTAAGGTCATAGATAGAAACTGGTAAAGTCCAGATTCAAACCCTGATTTTATGTTATTTATTTATTTTTTGCTTTAACAAATTTTATTTAAAAAATTTTGTGGATACATAATACTTGTATGTATTTATGGGGTACATGTGATATTTTGGGTTTTTTAATTTTTTAAAAAATTGTGATAGGTTTGGGAGTACAAATTGAATCTCATTACGTGTATATATTATATACATATATTATATATAGATTGTATAGTGGTGGAGTCCAGTGTACCCATCAGCTGAATAGTGTCCATTGTATCCCATAGGTAATTTTTCATCCCTCACCCCTTCCCACCGTTTCCCTTTTAGAGTCTCCAGTGTTCATTATAGTACTCTGTGTGCCCTTGCATAGCCATAGTTGAGTTCCCACTTAGAAGTGAGAATATGAGGCATTTGTTTTTCTGTTCCTGGGTTACTTCACTTAGGATATTGGCCTCCAGTTCCATCCAAGTTGCTGCAAAAGACATCATTTCATTCTTTCTTATCATTGAGTAGTATTCCATTGTATATATAACATATTTTCTTAATTCACTCATCAGTTGATGGGCACATAGGTTGATTCCATATCTTTGCAATTATAAATTGTGCTGTGATAAATGTGCAAGTACAGGTATCTTTTTGATATAATGATTTCTTTTCCTTTGGGTAGATAGAGGTCCAATAGTGGGATTGCAGGATCAAATGGTAGATCTACTTTTAGTTCTTTGATAACTCTCCATACTGATCTTCATAGAGGTTGTACTAATTCATATTCTCACTGAGATTGTATAAGTGTTCTCTTTTCACCTCATCTGTGCTAACATCTATTGTTTTTTGACTTTTTATTAACATTATTATTATTATTATTATTATTATTTTGAGACAGAGTCTCGCTCTGTTGCTTGGGCTAGAGTGCCATGGCATTAGTCTAGCTCACAGCAACCTCAAACTCCTGGGCTCAAGTGATCCTCCTGCCTCAGCCTCCTGTGTAGCTGGGACTATAGGCATGTGCCACTGTGCCCGGCTACTTTTGTATATATATATTTTTAGTTTTCCAGCTAATTTCTTTCTATTTTTTAGTAGAGATGGGGTCTCGCTCTTGCTCAGGCTAGTCTCGAACTCCTGAGCTCCAACAATCCACCCACCTCCGCATCCCAGAATGCTAGGATTATAGGCATGAGCCACTGCGCCTGGCCCTAACCTGATTTTAATAGACTCTGTGGCTTATGTTCTTTCCACTTTGCCACTACATCACTATCATGGCCCGTTTACAGGATGGAGGATGAACACAGAACACAAAACACAAACGCGCAGAACACAAAGAAAAACGCGGACACACGTAAAAATGGTTGACTCGAGTAATCATACACTGGGTCAGTTTTATTTTCATACTATAAAGATTAAAGTTAGTTCCTTGTACACAACCGTCCAGGTGTGGCAGTGATAGCCATAAATTCTGGAATGCGTAGCCTTAGGGAAGCAGATATCCCCTGACTCAGAATTTCAAGGTGGTTGCTCTAGCCACTAGGCATAGATAAAGGACCGAGATTAGCAAGGATGGGCAAGGTGATCCACAGGGGACATTTCTCATCCCCAGCTTCTCTTAGGGTGACCCTCTAAGATCTTCGGCTGAACCTTGGTGGCTGTGCCTGGCTTAGGTCACCCCTCCCTTGAGGGGTCTTACCTGTCATTGACTAACCAGCCATCTTATGGGGTGTATGCAGCAATCACAGGAACAATGTGTTCATTATGTGGCCTCCAGACCCCCAATGCTGTGGGGTGGGGTAGCTCTTGCTTACTTACAACTCCGGTCCTTTGTTATGCCTCTAGGTAACAACCTTGTTTATCACAAGGACCTTGTCCAGAACAGATTACTTTCAGACACTCTGGGCAGAACAGGTACATTACTCACTAACTTTAATTCTTAAACTGGGAAAATATATGTCAGTCCCCTACACATCACACTGGTAAAAGTAGCTCAGTGAAATGAAGGTTGGACATGGTGTAGGGTAGCTTGGCATCATGATGTTCTTTCTTCAGGAAATGCTTGATCACTCGACAGTTCTTCATTGTGATACTGGTATTCACAGATGCTGAATTTTATCTCCTATCTGGAGTTATTAACAGGTCATGGAGCCTGTTAATAACTCCAGATAGGAGATAAAATGAGCCAGAAAAAAGTTGTTTTCTTTTCTTAGTTATTTTGGAAAGACATATATGAAACATGAAATATTTTAGATTATTAAATCATTTAAATAAAAGGTTTTTTTTGCTGGATGTTTTTTTTCACTATTTTTGAAAAAATATAAGAATAAAAGTTAATAAATATCCTCAGGAACCACTGAATGTGAATCAGATTATGCATGTTTATAAATATTTCCTGAATAATTACAACCATTTTTGCTTAGTGATACAAATAAGAGTGAAAGGCTTTATTATTATAAAAAGTAATTTGTCATGAGCCAATTCAGTCTTTGAAGAAAAGCATATAAATGTTAGTATTGCTACTACTACATTTAGCTCATTGCAAAAGGAGCATTTATTACCTGATATTAGAAAGATACTTTCAAATGTTGCCAGATACCAAGTGCCCTCAGTTATATCTTCTACAGATGTGTTTGATAGGGTATATTTTGTATGACAGAACCTTAGAGTCTATTTTCTGTAGCATGTGAAAGAAATTAGTCTGTATTTGGTAATGTACCAAATAATATACTAGGTAGAAAAGTTGGTTTCAGCTCTTGAAAAGTATTTTCAAGAATCCACATGTTTTACACAAAGTAACTGTTCATTTCTTTTCTATTTCTTTTCCTTTTTTTCTGAGACAAGGTCTCCTTCTGTCACACAGGCTGGAGTGCAGTGATGTCATCATAGCTCACTGCAGCCTTAAACTCCTAGGCTCAGGTGATCCTTCTGCCTCAACTTTGGGAGTAGCTGGGAATACAGGCACTCACAATCATGCTGGAAATTTTTTTGTAGAGATGGGGTCTCCCTGTTTTGCCCAGTCTGGTTGCAAACTCCTGGCCACAAGTGATCCTCCTACTTCAGCCTCCCAAAGCACTGGGATTGCAGGCATGAGCCACCACACCTGGCCTGTCATTCATTCCTTTCAATATGATAAAAATGAAATATTGATGGAAGTGAAATTAATTATAGGTACTAAAAAATGAGCCTCATTAGATAAAATTGTCAGTGGGTTTTGGGCATGTTATTTTAAAACAACCTCAGTTTGCTTTAATAAAAACAGTACATATTTTAAGCCATGTGTAGTAGTGCATGCTTATAGGTCCAGCTTCTTGGGAGGTTGAAGCAGAGGATTACTTGAACCCAGGAGTTTGGGTCCAGCTTGGGCATCATGGTGAGACATTTTCTGTTAAAAAAAATAGATACACACACACACACACACACACACACACACACACACACACACACAAACATGTTATATGTATGTATGTTTTAATGGCCAAATAGTTGCCAGCCTTTTTTCTGCGTTCCTTTCACTAAGTAATAATATTAAGAAAAGTTCACTATGGGCCTGGCGTGGTGGCTCACGCCTGTAATCCTAGCACTCTGGGAGGCTGAGGCGGGTGGATCACTGGAGCTCAGGAGTTTGAGACCAGCCTGAGCAAAAGTGAGATCCCATCTCTACTAAAAAAATGAAAATAAATTAGCTGGACAACTAAAAAAAAATATATATATATAAAATTAGCCAGGCATGGTGGCACATGCCTATAGCCCCAGCTACTCAAGAGGCTAAGGCAGAAGGATCGCTTGACCCCAGGAGTTTGAGGTTGCTGTAGCTAGGCTGAAGCCACTGCACCCTAGCCCAGGCAACAGAGCCAGACTCTGTCTTAAAAAAGAAAAAAAAGAAAAGTTCACTTTGGGGGCAAGGGTTGTTGGTGATTTTGGTGTTTATAGCCCCCGAGGGCAGTAGGTATTTTAAAAAGCTTCTCCCTGAGAGTTCTGCTAGTTGTTTGCTACTGTGGAGAACACCTAGTTTATAAAACAAAATGGCCTTCATTTTTATCATTGTTATTAGGACATTGTTTGTGTTTCATATTTTTGCTTTATTCTAAATAGGCAAAACTAAGTGGACTTTTTAAGGTTTAGTCACTTGTAGCCTAATGGAAGTGAAATAGAATCTAAAAACATTTAAAAGCAAATTTAATTATTAAACTTATAATAATTTCTAAAATATATTTTTAGTTTTCTAGAAATTACAATTTTGCAAATAAACCAAATTATCTGTTTTTTTTTTTGTATAACAGTGTTCTATCATTTAGAGCTGTGAAATAACAAAAATTATATTATTTTTAGTTTTCTTTTGTGTTTCATTTTTCTCTGAAAATGTCCATGTTTCTCTAGGACTAGCCTGCTTTTAGAAATCTCTGGTAAGCTGTGAAGTTATTTTATCTTGGGGTTATTGTCATCTCCTGTAATATATCTGAATTCTTAGATTTGCTGTGTTGTGTTGTGTTAAATGACTATGTGTCCGTCATCGGTGTTTATACTGCGCTCCCAGGGACATCTGTGGCCCTGTGTGAATGCCAACAACAAAGCTGGTCTATGCGCTTATCTCCAGGGAGAACTGGAGGGCTACCCTGAGGTTTGGGAAGGTAAGAAAGGGATTAATTACAGCTTTTGGCACCAGTTTACCCTTATGTTGTTAGGTACATAAATCTAGTTGGTACTGGGTCTAGAGGCTGAGCCTACTAAGGCTTGCTGTCACCAGTTTCATGACTTTGAGTGATGGACCGCTTCCTAGACACCTTGAATTTTTAGGTATTCCTTCTTTGTGCTTCCGTAGTAACCTGCCCTCCGTATCATACCCTGTACCCCAGTATTAATTTTTCTTTGCCTGTAATCAGGTGACTGAATGAAGTCCGACCAAGTAAATCTTTGGAATGTCCAATTGACAAGGAGGAAATCTAAATGATAATTTTTTCTTTCTTTCTTTCTTTTTTTTTTAAAGAGATTATAATTCAAGTCTTTGTGATCTAAGGCAAAATCAGAACAAAAACCAAATAAAGAGACGCTTGATTGGATTGACTGAATACAGTTATTAAAAATAAATATGGAAAATGAACCAGACCATGAAAATGTGGAACAGAGCCTCTGTACCAAGACTACGGAAGAAGAACTGAATAAGTCTTTCAATCTAGAAGCTTCACTTTCAAAATTCTCTTACATAGATCTAGACAAGGAACTGGAGTTCAAAAATGATCTGGTAAAAATTTAAACTTTTGTCAAGTGAAGATGTTTAACCAAAGTGTTAGTTAGAGTATGCTTTATGACCCAAAGACTCTAATAAGGCTATCATTTTTGCATGGGATATTAGGAGTTTGTATACAGTTTTATGAGGTAATATCACTCTTCATTTGTATAGTCTATTACAGTTTATGAAACATTTTAATTCATGTTGTCATTTGAGCTTCACAGCTTTCACTCTGATAGTCCATTTTATAGATGAAGACACTGGCATGCAGCTATATTAAATGACTTCTTAAGGTCATAGAGCTAGTGGTATGTTTAGAATTCTTATCTTGCACAACAATTTTTTTTCCTTGTTGATTTAATATTATATTAATGGGTTTCTGTGACTATGAGAATATTTAATGACAAGTTACTTCACCTAATAATCTCTCACCATGATTTATGACATAACTAAGAAATGTGATGTCAGACTTTTGCTTAATGCTTTTGACTTATATCTAAATTTGGAATATTAGGGGTTGTTATAATATATGCTGTTTTGTCATGTTTAAAAAAACATATGCAAAAGTCCTTCAACAGAAGCTTTCTGGATAGGGCTGTCAGGATGGTGCAGTCAGACTCTCAAGGTGTCCTTGGTAGTCACCAAAAGGAAACTATTCTGTAATCTTTTAACCTGACCCTTCGTTTCATGGATTTTTAAGTTGACTGTATGATGTTTGGTGGTAAGTTTGTCTTTTAATTGATGATGGTTCTAATCAATTAAAACACCCACACAATTATTAGGGAAAAGGATCATTATGAGAGCATTAATTTATTTTCTTTATTTAGATTGATGACAAGGAGTTTGATATTCCTCAAGTTGATACTCCTCCAACACTGGAAAGCATACTAAATGAGGTAAGCAAATTTAATGATCATTGTCATTTTGTAGCATTGATTTTAATATTTTGGGGGGCTGGTTGTAGTGTGTGTATCTAGATGTGCACTACCCAGTATGGTAGCCACTATTGGGTCACATGTATCAATTTAAAATTTCAGTTAATTACAATTAAAGAAAAATTCAATCCCTCAGTTGTACAAGGCCCATTTCAAGTACTAATTAGCCACATGTGGCTACTGGCTGCTGTGGTGGACAGCATAGGCACAGAATATTCCCATCATTGCAGAAAGTTCTATTAGATTACGCTGGTCTAGATTGTGAGCTTCTCAAGGGCAGGAACCATGTTTTGTTCATCTTTAGTCTCTGTGCCCAGCACAATGCCTAATACTTGGTAGACTTAAATATATTTTATTAAGTGAATTGAAATACTAAATTTGTCACTTTTGAGGTTTGTATTACGTGTTGATAATGGTTAGTTCACTCTACCAGTGATATTCCAATAGCTCATCCTCTGACACTAGAGAGCATCTTGCAACCTTCAACACTCTTTTACGTGAAGAAAACCAAACTTTTATAGTTCATCTTATGAATATCATCTCTATTAAAAAGTTTTTTACTGTTTTGAATTGGCAGATCAAAGGCTTTATAAAGGAACTTTGTGTATCTTTTTTGATGTACCTTGCATGTGCTGACAATTCTTCACCTCAGTCTTCTCGGTCTTTTAAAAACTTGCTTATGACTTTCCTTGGAGGATTTAGCTTCAAATTTGAGACTCTTTAAATGTATAAATCTATTTCAGATCGCTAGTTATATTTTTTAACAGATAAAGTTGCAAACGTTCCTCAACAGAAATGCCTACTTTGTAGGGCACACCCCGAGTGAGTTGGGCCTTTGTCTTTGTGACTTCTTTGCCTGTACTTTTAGGGTTATAGGCAATACATTATAGGATGCAGACAACCTTCTCAGTGAATTGTATCTTTTATTTTTCTTGTATGGCTTTGATTTCTATTTTTTATATCAGTTTGATGTTGCTATTGCTTTGAATGTATTTTACCTTCGAATGTGTTTTAACTTCAAAAATGTTCTGTATATTCTATGTTAACACTTAAGCACTTTTCGTTTTGATAAAAAAGGCTTTGGTCCACAAAAGAATATCCTATTACAGTGAAATGTCCTGTATTTATTACTTTCTAATATAGAGGAAATCTTTCATTTAGAGGTAAAGAAATTAATTTTAGTCAATCTTTTAAAAATGGTCTCAATCACATCCTCATTTCAATTATCTTACTAAGTATGAAATAAAAATAATCTTAAAGGACTGTGTATAAAGCCCTATCTGTATATTAATATCTTTATATTATATTGGCAAAGAAAATAATGCTCATATGAATGAGCTGTAGTTCACAATGAAGGAAAACTGTCCTTGTAGAACTTTCTTATTTATGAACAATAATAAGTAGTCATTAGTAGTTTACTGAGAAGATAATATTGTTATCTTCTTCAGTAGTAATTTGAGTGCCTAGTGTATTTGGGTCATGGCATTAGATGTTGGAGTTATAAAGTGCTTAAGAAGAAAATGGTACTGGGAATTGGCCAGGCTTTGCACCTCCAGGAAGTTAGGCAAGTAGTAAGTGAAAGGAAAAATAAGTTATAGATCATTATGAAGACTTTAAGAGGGGTGTGAGAAGTATTAAATAAAATGATTTTTTTTTTAGTGAAAAGGGGAGAAGTAGAAAGTGTAAATAAACCCTTGCTCCAGGATACGTAGATGCATATATTCTATAATGTTTGTTAATATCAACCTAAAGAGAGGCTGGGGAAAAAGTGGACATCCAAGATATTTTAAAAAATGGAAATTAAGAGGGTACTGAGATGACCTAGATCTCGAATTTAGGGCTTGAAATAATGTTACTAGGCCTTGTCATCCTTTGAAAATATGCTACCTCTGAAGTTTTTAATTTTGAAATTCCATTCTCTAATGATAACCTTTTTCTCCTCATTTCCTTACTTCCATTAAACTTGTTCTTTGACTTCATCAAGACCAGTGTCTTGATTCTTCCTAGTCTTCTGTCCCTGAGATGGTCAGAGACTACTGGTTTTATCTCAATCCTACTATTGGACTGTGCAGCCAGAAATGTCTTTTGAACTTTTTGTTGAAGTATAACATACAATCAGAAATGCACATGAATCTTAAGTGTACAGCATGGTGAATGTTCACTAACTATACACTCTGTATAACCAGAATCTAGATAAAGAAGCAAAATATTACTAATAACCCAGTAGCTCCTCTTGTGCCCCTTCAGTACCCAGCTCCAGGGTAATTACTATTATAACTTCTATCAGCATGGATTAGTTTGCTGGCTTTGAACTTTATATAAAGAGAATTATACAGTATGTAGTCTTGTGTATCTGACTGATTTCCCTCAATATTATATATTTAGATTTATTTATACTTTTGTATAATTAATTGCTATATACCATTCTTAATGAATATATCATTATTTATTCATTCTACTGTTGATAGGCATTTGTGCAGTTTTCAGTTTCTGGCTACCATGAATAGTGCTGCTGTGAATCTTTTCTTAATTGTGTGTTTTGGGATATACATATCCACACATCCACATACACACACACAATTCTATTGGCATATACCCAGGAATAGAGTTGGTAGGTCACCACATGTAGTTATATTCAACTTTAGTATATAATGTCACAGTTTTTCAAAGTGGTTGTATTGATAAATACTTCTAGCAGCAATATATAAGATTTCTGATTACTAAATCTTTGTCAACTTTTTAATTTTTCTGTCTTCACTTTGAACTTTTGTTCTCATAGATGTGTAGTGATATCACATCATGGTTTTAATTTGCATTTCCCTGAGGACTTATGAAATTGGGCAGTTTAACACATGTTTTGGCCATTTGGATATCTCTTTTGTGATTTGCCTTTTCATGCCTTTAGCCTGCTTAATTCTGCTGATTTTTTAAAAAAGTGATTTATAAAAGTTCTTTATATATGCTGTTATACGCCCTTTATTAGATATAAGTATTGCAAATATTTTCTTTCATTCTGTAGGTTACCATTTCACTCTATTAATAGCTTCTTTTGATGAGTTGTTCTTAATTTAGTTCAGCTTATTAAATTTTTCTATTATGGTTAGTTTATTGTGTGTCCTGCTTAAGAAAATTTTGCCAATTCCGAGGTCATGATGATATTATCCTGTTTTGTTCTAAAATCTTCATCATTCTACCTTTACATTTAAATGTGTACTTCATCTGTAATTTTGTGTGTGTGTGTGTGTGATATTATGATGTATAAGCCAGCACCATTTACTGAAAAAAGTGTTCTTGTTTGTGGTGTCACCTTTCTTACAAATCAGATGATTGTATATGTGTGGGTCTGAGTCCATTGGTCTGTCTATACTTGCCCCAATATCAAATTCTAATTACTGAATCTTTATAATAAGCCTTGATATCTGGTAGTTTTAAAGCTTGCCACTTTGATCTTTTGCATTTCCATGTAAGTTTTAGAATTAGCTTATCAGTTCTCTCTCTCTCTCTCTCTCTCACACACACACACACACACACACACACACACCACTGCCCCACCCCCAGCAGAAATGTGATAGGACTGTATAGATTTTATACACCAGTTTGGGGAAAATTGGAATCTCTTCTGTGTAGTAGTAGTTTTAAATTCAGTCTTGGCATCCTCAATTCTTTTCTTGCCTTTACTTTTTCTTTTACTTATCCTATAAGCCTGGCTTACCTCATCTGATCTGTTTTCTTTAATTATGTCCCCAGACTACTTGAGAAAATCAAATAACATTTTGATTGACTCTTGCTTAAGACCTTGATGCTGCAGTTTTTATTTCTGCATTCTTTCCTTTCCTGTTTCCTACAACAATTGTTCTAAAATTTTATTGTTCTGAAGTAACATAATGTCTCCTTGCCAGTCCTACCCTGTTCTTAGAAGACGTATTTGTGGAAGTATCTGAAAAGCAGTTGTAAATTTGGGCCTAAAACTCAAGAGAAATGTTGATGCTAAAGACACAGATTTTGGAGTCTTTAGCATAACTTGGTACTAAAAGTCATAGATAGGGGCTGGGTGTGGTGGGTCATGCCTATAATTTTAGCACTCTGGGAGCCCATGCGTGGTGTGAGGATCGCTCAAGGTCAGGAGTTTGAAACCAGCCTGAGCAAGAGCAAGACCTTGTCTCTACTAAAAATAGAAAGAAATTAATTGGCCAACTAAAAATATATAGAAAAAATTAGCCAGGCATGGTGGCACATGCCTATAGTCCCAGCTACTCAGGAGACTGAGGCAGGAGGATTGCATGAGCCCAGGAGTTTGAGGTTGCTGTGAGCTAGGCTGACGCCATGGCACTCTAGCCCAGGCAATAGAGTGAGACTCTGTTTCAAAAAAACAAAAGTTATATATAGAGATGAGCTTGCTCAAGTAGGAAGTGTGTGAAGTAGGAAGAGAAGATAGCCAAGAATATAATCCTGGGGGACAATAGCATTTAAAGATTGGGCTGAGGAGAAGCTACAACACATGACTTATAAGAGGACACGTAAATTAGAGGAGAACCAGGAAAGAGAGATGTACTGAAAACCAAGGGAAGAGAAAGTTTCAGGAAGTAGGGAATTTCCAACAGGGTTAAATGATGCATAGGGGACAAGAGCATGCTAACGGGAAATAGGCCAGTGGATTTGGCTAGTAACTTCAGAAGGTTTGTAGTCAGTCAGTAGCTTGTAATGAGTGGAAAAAGTGGGGATAGTGAGTATAGATTACTCTCTCCAGGGCTTTGATGGGAAATGGTAAGGCAGAAGGTAGTCCAACTGAAAGAGAAGGTAGGATCAGAACATTCTTTAATGTCTGTCACTCAGAATCACCGTGTGCAAAGCCAAGTTCCTCATCCTGCCTTATCTGCTATTTATCTGCCTTTTTCATTTCAATTAGTAGTATCACCTTTGCCTGATTTTTCCAGCTGGAAACCTTGGAATCTTCTTTGACTTCTCCCTTACCTGCCCCCCACACTGGGCCAAACACAGCAGACATTTAAATGGTAACCAGGGACTTTTGATCTCAGTAGTGTCTTTTTTGCCATTTCCTCTCTTGACTTCTACAACATTCCTAGGGGGATACCTTCTCTTTCCTTGATATTGCAATAGCTCTCTTACTGCTACTTAAGTCTCATCTTCTACCCTCATCCATTCTTCATACAGCCCCATTTATCTTTCTAAAACATGGTTCCCATCATGTCTCTCCCTTTCTTGCCTTCTTTGTATAGCATACTAATTCATTAAATAAGTGAGCACTGATTATGTGGCCAGCATTATACTAGTCACCAGGTGTACAGTGGTGGACAATATAGACATGGGCCATGCTTCCACATAGCTTAATGGATGGAGTATAAGTCTTTTTACAATTTGGATACTGGCTTATCTTTCTGACATTATCTCCAACTTCTACTCATATTCTCTAGCCATTTTGGGCTAATTTCTTTTCTATGGGAAAAATCCATATTATGAAATTGTTGTATCTGCACATGTTATTTCTTACCTAGAATGCCTTTCTTCTGTCTGCTTGTTATATTTTTCATAGTAGACTATTTATTGTCAGGTGCTATTTGTTTTCTTCTCATTGGCCATTGGCTGTTAACTATGAAAGCACCTGTACGGGTTTGAATTTTAAGAAATATTCTGTAGCTAACAATAATCTGCGTAAATGCTCCTGCTTCTTTCTGCTACAAGAAAGAAATTTTTGCATTGAACTCTTTGTAGAGAGAGGGATCTATCTTGAGTTGAAATTTAATTCTGATAATTATGTACTATGCCTATCTGGTCAATAAGAATGTATAGAATGGAGGTGAAAAGCAGAAATAAGCACATGAGTACTTTGGAGAAACCCATTAATGCTTACCTGACTTATTTCATTGAGTATTTGGAATTTTGAGTTATTGATCTATCTTTCTCCAATTTAGACTGATGATGAAGATGAGTCTTTTGTTCTTGAGGATCCTACATTGTTAAACATTGATACTATTGATTCTCACTCATATGATACTTCATCTGTGGCAAGCTCAGACAGTGGTGACAGGACCAACTTAAAAAGGTATGTATTCATGTCAATCACACTTGCATATGGTTGAGATATTTAACCATTTCAAATGTAAATACATTTTTTGTAGTACAGTGTGGTGTGTTGAAGCCCTGCATGGGAGTAGAAGGCCCACTTGTATGGAAATAATATGCTTATTATATCCTAAAGATTTTGGCACTCTTGGGGAAGTAGATAAAAAGAAAAGGTGGGTACCATGACCACTGTCTTCCGAAGCCCCAGTAGGAAGCCATAATAATAGCCAGGGAGTCCCAGAAACAGTAGAACCTTTGGAGGGAGCACAAATCAAACCTGGCAGTGTCTGTGGAGGGAACATGGAGGTTGGTTCACCACCCTTCTGTTCCCTGCATGTCCCCCTCTCCTCATGTCAGCTCCAGCGTTCCTTCATTCTCTTGGAATGAAGCTCCAAGCAGAATCACAAGGATGATTAAAGATTTGGGAAAAGGACTTCTAACCCTAAATAACTTCAATTTGGGCTGCATTTTACCTTCCAAATTTTTGGAGGGAACATAAAAAGGAAAGAGAAGTGGAAGAATCATAATATAAATATTTTAGTGAATTCATGTGTAACTTTAATATTAATAAAGTTATCTGTGTATTTTTTCTCTCTTTTTAAAATTTTGCCTGTATCAAGTGCTGTCTCTAGGTTCTTGTCTCTTGCGAGATAGGGGACATTGCCGGTTATGTTAAGCTGTTCAGCAGTGTGTCCTACAAATAGATAACTTAAATGTTTTTCATAATCTGGTCACTCCCTGCTTAAAAGATATGGTGTTATCTTGTTGCCTGAATAATACAGTCAGAACTGCTTTGTGTGACATCTGTCTGGACCCTGCTGTGCATTTTGACCTGATGTCGAAGCACTCCCACTCCAGTCCTCCCAGTCCATGCCTTTTGTGTATCCGCTGTTCCCCAGACACACTGTGCACCTTTACATCTTCGTATTTCTGCTCGTGCTTTTTGTCTGACAGACTCGGGCCAAATCAGACATCTTCTCTTTTCTACAGCTGTCCCTGATATCCCCCAAATAAACAGAATGAAACTTTTTTTCATTTGCATTTATATAGTATTTTATTTATATTTCTAGTGTAACGTTTGTCCTTTTATTTAAGAGTTACTTATCTGATGATGTTACCAGATCCTTGACAGTAGGAACTATGATCTTCTTATTTTGTATCCCTGAGCATACTTTTAGCCATGCAGAATAGGTCCCAGTAATGTTTGCTAAATGTTTAAAAATTAGTTTTTGCATGACAATGAGTAGAGTAGGTGAAAGGAGCCATCAATAGGAGCAGCAGAGAATGATTCAAGAATGGGAAATTCGAGAATGTGGTTGGTTGAAGAATGAGAATGGTGGTTGTAGACAGGAGGTGGCAAGAGGGTAAGCAAATGTAGCCATACAGGGCAGAAGGAGGACTCTGTAGGTACCTTCTGGAGAATAGCAAAACCTCTTGCTATATTACTTAAGGTGGGCAAGGAACAGTTTGAATCAGTGAAAAAAGAATGGTAATTTTATTCATTTTCCTGCTTGTGCTTCTCTGAGGTTCACAGTGGGTTTAGTACAACAGTTGAATGTGAGACTATTAGATTCTTTATACTTCTTTTTCAAACAGAGCTAACAAATTATATATAGTGTTATTTTCTACTTTTCTTTTTGTTGGTATGTTTTCTTCTTTCAAAGCATTGGGACCTTGTCTTTTCAATTTTTTTTTTTTGTCCTTAAAGTATTCATTTTTTTTTTTTTTTTTAGGAAGAAGAAATTACCTGATTCTTTTTCACTCCATGGATCAGTTATGCGACATTCACTTTTGAAGGGAATTTCTGCCCAGATAGTATCTGCAGCTGTAAGTATTTTGTACTTTCCCCCCAGCTTTATAACCTGCAATGGCATAATGAAGTAGGAATGAGCATAAAACAAAGTACAGCACTTCTCTTGGCCCAAAGCTTAAGAAAAATAGAATCTGGCTTTCATGGTTTTTGTGTGATTATTTTTGACTCATAAGACATGGCTACACATCTTGATGTAGAAATTAGTGCAGCCATGAAAATAAAGGTCTGCTCAGAGTCTCGGATGTGCCTAAATGAAATATGGCAGCAAGCCTAAAATAAACACTATCTGCCTTTTCTTTAAATTCCTTTTCAGTTTAGTTGCCATCTTGTGTATTTGATTGAGGTAGAGTGCTTATTTTTTTAGTCTTTTCATATGGAGAAATGATAGATTGGAATCTTTTACAACTGAATGTTTTTTATAATTCACAAAAGTCTTTTCATGTACCTTATTACTCTTACAACTTTGAAAGTAGGTAAAGCCGTGTTCTATTTTACAATGAGAAGATAGGCTCAGAGAGGTGATATTAACTTGTCTTACATAGTTCAGTTAGGAGGTAGCAGGGCAATTACTCAAAATTGGGGTTTCTGGCTCCAAGTCTAGTGCCTCTTTGTTGTGAAAGGAGGTGGCATGAGTGAATGTGCCTAATTTATAGTGGTTGGAACAGAATGTCTGTGACCTTTTTCAAAAATGATTTTGAGCACTGAGTTAATATAAAAAACATTTAATAGTCTATCAAGACAATAGACACTGATGAAACTTTTCCTTTGACCTCAAAGCCCATAGTTTTATGTAGTCTTTGAATTCTGGTTTTCTGAATTAAATATACAGATCCTATATATAATACGAATAATGACAGATTCAAACTCCAGGAACTTTGATCTGTTTTTATGTTCTTTTTATGGAGTTTAATTGGTATTTTACATATTCAATTTGGACAAGGTTTTGATTTTTCATGAGGGTAAGAGTTGATACAGGAGTGCATCAATTCACCACAATGACATTGCAATTTTTAGCTTTATCTGAGAAAGATCTCAGCTCAGATATCAAGAAAAGAAAGTATTCACTGTGGACAATGGGTATATCCTGACCCAGCTCATATATCATGAAGTTAGTTTAAATGGAGAGATGGTCAAGCAATGGAGGAAACCTGGGCAATTGTCCTTCCTCTTTTAGGTGGAGAGTAATTCATATTTGCTGGAATGGGAACCACCTGTTGAGGATTACATTTCCATGACGTTTTCTGAATTTAATCCTTATGTAGGTGATGAAATTCATTCCTTTCAAAATCAAGATGAACCAGAACAGTCATTTGACCCACCTGTGCAGTTTTAAAAATATTTTGAATAATGGAGACTGAACTAAAACTCAGACTCTGAACAATGATTAGATAAATCTGTTATTTAAAAGGGTTTCTCCTTGTTCTTGAAGAGGAGGGGAAAATTCTAATAAATACCAGAGTGTTTGCATTCTGTTTTTATTTCATTGCTATGGCTGAGCTCCTTTGGTATGTTAAAAAGAAAACTGCTTTTCCTGCGACAGCCATCACACAATACCTTCCTATTTTTGGATTACCAGCTCAATTTACATTGCATGCTTTTCTGTGATGGTTGGTTTATTAACATGTAAAGCTAGTTATATTTCTGGGTGTTTGTCCTTAATAATTGTTTAATAGTACCTTCGGCCATGTGGATTGTGATGTTATTAAGGCTGCTTAGGGTCTTGGTCATTATAGTTTTAGAGTCCATGCACAGAAAACACCCAGGAAAGATGAGGTTTGTTTGTTTGTTTGTTTGTTTGTTTGTTTTGAGCCAGAGTCTTGCTCTGTCACCCAGGCTGGAGTGCAGTAATACAATCACAGTTCATTGCATGCAGCCTCAAACTCCTGGGATCAAGCAATCCTCTTGCCTCAGCCTCCTGAATAGCTGGGACTATAGGCATGCACCAACACGCCTGGCTAATTTTTCTTATTTTTTGTAGAGACAGGGTCTTACTATATTGCACAGGCTGGTATTGAACTCCTGGCCTTGAGCACTCCTCCTGCCCCCGCCTCTCAAAATGCTGGGATTGTAAGTGTGAGCCACCACATCCAGCTGAAATGAAAGTTTTGGAGTTGTAACACTCATTGGTTAATTTTGGGATCCTTCTCAAAGAAATATGACATATGAGTATATTTAAAAATAATTCAAATTAACTTTTTAAGGATCTTTACCATTTTTATGATCAACCTTAAGATACTAGAGAAACCTTAATGCAGTGTTCTTTTTTCAAAATGTGTCCAATGCATAAGAATCTCCTGGGGTGCTTATTAAAATGCAGATTCCTGGGGATCACCCCAGACCTACTGAATTAGAATCTTTAGCAGTATAGTATAGAGATCTGCATTTTAACAGGCATCCTAGGTGATTCTAATGCACTCTGGCTTTTGAGAATTACTACCCTCACATGTTGCAACACCAGTACTAAAATTCTGTAATCCATAAAATGCTTCTAAACATCTGTGAATTTTTTAGCCTTTGAAGTCAGGTGACTTCTGATTTTATCATTCAGGTTCTATTTTGAATATAGAGCAGATCCTTGAATAATGTTGTTTTGTTCAATGTTATTTCGTTATAATGTTGATGAGAAAAAAAATGGTTTTGTTGTAAGTTGTTTCACTTACAGTTTCCAAGAACCTATTGACAATGTTAAGTGAGGACTTACTGTAGTTTATGTTCTTTATCTGCTATCTTATTATTCCTCTTTTTTCTTATCAGGGACACAAATGAATCATTTATTAAATACTTATTGCATGCTTTGTAATTGTCAAGCATTATGTCAGGCATGTTTTGTTTTTTTTCTATTTTTTTTTTTTTTATTTCGGCATATTATGGGGGAGGCATGTTTTATATACACACACATAAACACAAAGTTGGGTAGATGCTGCTATCCAGAACATTGTATACAGCAACCTTGGTGATTGTTCTTTTCTATGTTTCCATGCACTGGAGTAAGTTTCTTAAGATAGTTCCTGGGAAGCTCTACACAGTTTGTTAAATAGATTCTCCCTTCTGAGAGATTATAGTAACTAATTGACCACACTGACAAGAACAGACATAGAAAAAAAGGTATAGAGGAGTTATAAAGAGCCTGCCCTGGGAACAGAAGGCCCTGAGTTTGAGCCATAGTTCTACCACTTACCGAGTAACCCTTGGGCATGTCAGTTAAGCTCTTTGAAACTTCTATTTTCTTGATTTGGAAAATCAGAATCATACTGCCTGTTCTCTCTCTCCCTCCAGGTTAGAGAATCAAATGTTGTAATATATGTATGTGAAGGTTTTTTTTGTTACTACAGTGCTGTATCACTGCAAGCTGCTATTATTTAGAGCTATATAAGCATCAAACAGATACTCTTATATCATTCTTTACATTTAATTTGATCCTCAGGACAACTCATTGAGGTAAATATGGCAGTATTTGCTATTTCTTTGAACAGATGAGGAGACTAATACTCAGAAAAGTTAGATGACTTTCCCAAGGTCGTGTAGTTACTGATAAGGACCTGAGACTACCACTTCATGTTTTACTTTCTTATGCTTGAGAACTGACTTAATATATCCCGCTGGGGTTTATTTGGGGACTCTTGGGTAATCTGCTAGACAAGAGCTCCTATTTTATTAGAAATAGTACATCTTTAGCACATGTTTCCTTTTCTCAAATCTTTATATACTCCTACCATTTTGACCCCATAATACTTACAGTTTATTCACATTATAGAAAACAGAACCTCTTTTCTCCTTTCCTTTACATTTCCATTTATAATCAGTACTCTTCCTGAAGCATCTGTTATAGTTAGTAAAACAAAATGATACACTCTCATGGTCTCTGTATTTATTGATATATACAGCTTTTGTAATTTCTCTTAGTTGAGGGCAAAAATGAAGTTTCCACCTCTTGTCTAAATTGACTTGGATCAAAGTATATGTAAAGAGAGATCCTTATACCATTTTTGGTTTTAAAATGAGAATGTTTTTTCAAATACTTCTTTTTATCATTTCATTTAGGACAAAGTAGATGCTGGCTTGCCCACAGCAATTGTAAGTATACTTTAGCTTTTTAAAGGTAAGCTTTTTACTTGATTGGGTTTTCTTAGATTTATTCTTATAATGTTCAAAGTTATTACATAAATTATAATAAATTCATAAGTCATTTTACCACAAGTAATCAAGTTTAAAATCTGTCCAAGTTTAATGTTTTCTTTTTTTCCTAATTTATTGTTATTTTTGGGCTTTTATTTGAGAAGCAGGTAATGGAATAATGATTGGCCTTCCCCCGTTTTATTTGTATGTGGTACCATACTGCCCAAGTAAATTTGCTCCTTCTGTGATTTGGCTTCCCTTCTGTTGCAGGGAGTGGAAAGCCTCATTTGGTAAAATCACTTTGTGGTAAATATTACATTTAACAGCTCTGGATTCCATTACCAAGCTTGCCAAATAGTAAATCTGTAGAGTGATTTTAGAGAACCGGGGGATATTGAAAGCACACTAGTGCTTTCTTTTCTTGTCTTCCTCCAGCTGCCTCCTGTAGCTTTCTTATTAGTCAGTCATTTGGTGAGGAGGTGGGCTGAGTTTTGAACATTTCTGATGTCTTTTGGGTCCTGTAGATAAACTGGAGCATTCTCATCTCTTCCCCACACGTTGTAGGGGGCTCTTGGTTGTGTAGCCTAAGTGCCTCTTACTTTGTCTGGACCCCTGATTTTTTAAGTTGCTTTAGAGGAAGCTAAGTGGCATGTTTTTGCCCATAATGTTGAACATATGCTGTTTTGATAATGTTACCCTTAGAGTAAATTTAGAGGGATTCTCAGAAATAAAATGTCCCAAGTTTCATTTCCCGTTTTGCCTCCTAGATGAAATTCTCCTTGTTTATAATAGTTGGTATGTCATCTGGTGCCGAGAGGAAGGAACAGATTTAACTTTGATTATTTCAAGATCCTTGATGTACTATCTTAAAATATCATCTTCTCTTTTGTTTTCAGGCAGTGTCCAGTCTGATAGCAGTGGGTACATCTCATGGACTGGCTTTAATATTTGGTAAATTTTCTAAGAACTTTCTTACTTTTAAATATTAAGTATCCTATTGGAATTTATAATGTCCTTTAATCACAGTTTATATAGTGTATTTTATCGCACGAAACCAGAAAAACTTGAAAAGGAGCAGTACATATTCTTATAACCAAACATTATTTGACTCATACTAAATAACCACAGTTTTATTCATCCTTCTTTGCCTTTGCATTCAATATTTGAGTAGAATATTTTGTCCTTTTTTTATTTAAAAACTTCTAGATAACATTTTCTGTCATTTTTAGTGTTCTGGGCATTAAATTTTTGCATCTCTCTTTTATGGAATTCCCAATGACACTATACTTACTAATAAGAAATCTACAGAATGTTTTATAAGCATTACTTGAGAGTGCTTTAATAGCAGAAGCACAGTTTGAAACCTGTGGGGCCTTGTATCTTTATCATTTGAGTGGATAACTAGTTATCATCTGTTGCTTTTGAACAATTCAACTTCCTGTTTATAAATTTTCTATTATGCCGAAAGCTTTATTTAACACGTAATTGTAACACCTAGTCTTTTCAAAGGAGATTAATTTAAATAATAGAATTTTACTGTTTGGGAACCAGAAAATAGAAACAAAATTATAATTACCTTGAAAGAACTTCAGAATTGATTTTTCTTTAAAAAAATACTATTTTTTTTTTTACTGTATGACTGATACATATACATAGTAGAAAATGTAGACGGACAAAAAGTTAAAGATATAAAATACCAAATTCTACCATCCAGAAACAATCCCTATACATTTCTGTATAATCTTCTAGTCTTTTTTTTCTGTATATATGTATGTATACATCTTCAAGTGGGATCATATTAATTTATAACCTCCTTTCCATTATAATGAACATCTTTCCATGCAATTATGTATTTGTCTGTAACATTTTTAATGGCTGTATATTATTCTATTAAATAGCTTCTTCCTAATTTACTTAGCCATTTCCTACTAAAGGAAGTTTAGGTTTTTAATAAACAGGAGTGTAGTGAACATTTTGTTACTACATTTTTGTGCATGTGATTACTTTCTTAGGACAAATTCATAAAAGTGGAATTGCTTGGGGTCAGAATATGAACATTAAGGACTTTTAATACATATTATGTAGTTGCCCTCTAGAAAAGTTTTACTAGCTCGGCTCTCCTATCATGTGTAAGAATGGCTGTTTTCCTATGGGAACATAATTGGTATTAGATAAATAGAATTTGGAGAAAGAATCTTACAGGGTCTTTTAGTTCAATCCCCTTATTTTACTTGAGGTGATTGGGACCAAAGAAGTTAAGTGACATGCAGAGAGCCAAGTTCATAATCAAGGAATACAAAATCCTAGATCAGTGCATTTCCACTATTCCAAACAATCCTCCTGTCCTGAGAGAAAAGGAGGCAAAAAGTATGAAGAAAAGAATTGAACTAAGGTGAATGAGGATAGAATATAATGTAAATGTTTATCTGTCAGCAGAATACATGTTGATTTTTTTTTTTTTTTTTTGAGACAGAGTCTCACTTTGTTGTCCAGGCTAGAGTGAGTGCCGTGGCGTCAGCCTAGCTCACAGCAACCTCAAACTCCTGGGCTCAAGCGATCCTCCTGCCTCAGCCTCCCGAGTAGCTGGGACTACAGGCATGCGCCACCATGCCCGGCTAATTTTTTTTTTTATATATATCAGTTGGCCAATTAATTTCTTTCTATTTTATAGTAGAGACGGGGTCTCGCTCTTGCTCAGGCTGGTTTTGAACTCCTGACCTTGAGCAATCCGCCCGCCTCGGCCTCCCAAGAGCTAGGATTACAGGCGTGAGCCACAGCGCCCGGCCCATGTTGATTTTTTGTTCCCACTTACCAGTACTCACCTTTCCTAAACTCTGTTTGAACATCCCTTTCTTATCAAGAGGTTGTACACATATGTAATTGCTTATAATCAAACTCATGTAGGGCTTACTGCAAACAAATTAAAATGAATACTTTAAAAACTAGCAGAGGAAAAAAGTTCATTATCTTTTCATACTATCTTTTTAATTTCCTTGGGCCTGCTTCTTGGTTTTTTTAGACCCCAGCTTCTTTCTTACAGATATGAGGACATAGCTATCTTTCACCACAGTCTCATGGAAAAGAAAGTATGCCAAAGTGAACATTTTGAGAAATAATTATAATATTCTGGTTGTGCTTTGAGTTTTAACAGTACAGCTAATAAATTTTACTCATTATGTTTATAGGAATCAGATGTTTGGACAATGTGTTTTAACAAATGGATTAAAATAGTTTGAAAGCCAAGGAACAAATGGCAGAGTAATAATACTATGAAGTATCTAGATCTGAGGTCTGGATTAGAGCTGATCTCTTTAATTTTATTTATTTATTTTTAAAAAATTATTATTGGTATATAATATTTATCTTTATGGGGTACATATGATGTTTTGATACAGGCATACGATGTGAATTAATCAAATCAGGGTAATTGGGGAATCCATCACCTCAGGCATTTAACATTTCTTTGTGTTAGGAACATTCCAATTCTACTCTTTTAGTTATTTTACAGTATACCCTAATTTATTGTTGATTATAGTCACTTTGTTGTGCTATCAGGTATTGTTCATACTATCTAACTATATTTTTGCACCCATGTGATCTCTTTTAAACATCTGTGTTGATGATAGGATCAGGTGTATCAGGAAGAACTATACTTGTTTAAGTATTATTAGATTCTCTTTGAAATAGAGGCCCAGGTCATTAAAATATAAATTATTATAAGTTTCTTAAATGTTGATGCATATTGTGTATTCTTATGGAATTATAAGTATATGACATTTTTTGTGTGTCTTGGTTCTTACCTTATACAAAGTCTCAGAAGTTCAAATCTTAATAAAGATGTTTCTCTATCCCAAGACCCTTAGTTTTCATTTTTTTGGTTGTTAGTGTATTTTAGTAGCTTATCTTTTAGAAATTGTTTTTGTTTCCACTTAACTTAAACATGGATTTACTTACTGTGCTATAATTTGAATATTATGGATTTTTTCTTTTCCCATAACCCATACCTGAATATAATCACAAATGAATATAATCATATCTTTAGACATCAATTAATCAAATTTAGTCTCATTCCCACAGATAACCAAATCTTGTCATTTATACTCTTGAAATTTTACCTGCCTTTTTTCTGAATTTTTGTACTGATTTCTTGCTTTTCTCTCTCTTTTAATCTTTTCTTCGTGGATTCAAAAGGAAAAGGTATAGTAACTTTGGTTTGCATGAGAGGTTTTTTGTCTTTTGACCTTTTTAATGTTGAAAGAAAATGCTAGCAATTACAGTTGATGCCCTCATGAAATCCTTATTGAAAAAAAAACTACAGCTAAATAAAGCAGGCAATTGTGAAAAACTATAAATAAATGCATATCTTCAATGTTTTATTTTAACTAAAAATATATAAATTTTAATTTTCCCCTAATCTTTTGATATAGTCTGAAGCCTTTTCTTTTGAGTTTGTATCCGCTGATTGGAGGTCTGCAGTAATTTTGGGGGCATAAATTTAATCAGTAATGGGCCATGAAAATTTGCAATTTTAATTTTTAAAAATGAGGTAAAAGCTTACATACCTGTGTATCAATCAGAGTACAGAATTCTAGATTTTAACAAAACTTCCTTTTAGTCTTTACCCTTATCTTGTCAATATCTTTGTGACAGTTTTGTAAAGCAATTCATCTTTACCAAGTTTTTCTAAATCGTCCATTTAGTGTTCATAGAACAGCTCTTTCTTTTTTAATCTTATTTCATCAGTTTATGTACTTTTTAATTAAGTTTTTCAAGTACAGTAACATTACAATGACATGAGCAGGTTTGGGAATGAATGCAACTGACTCCTTAGTAAGTACCAGTATTCTAGAACACCAGTCCCCTACGTTTTTAGCACTAGGGACTAGTTTCACGGAAGACAGTTTTTCCATGGATTGGGGGTGGGAGACGATGGTTTTGTTTTGGGGTGATTCAAGCACATTACATTTATTGTGTACTTTATTTTTATTATTTTTACATTATAATATATAATGAAATAATTATGCAGCTCACCATAATGCAGAATGTGGAAGCTCAGAGCTTGTTTCCCTGCAACTAGATGGTCCCATCTGAAGATGATGGGAGACAGTGACTGATCTGACAGGAGGCGGAGCTCAGGCGGTGATGTGAGCTATGGGAGGTGATGGGAAGCCATGGGGAGCAGCTGTAAATACAGATGAAGCTTTGCTTTCTCACCTGCCACTCACCTCCTGCTATGCAGCCTGGTTCCTAACAGGACAACTGGTACCAGTCTGTGGCCCCGGGGTTGGGGATGCAGTTCTAGAAGACAGCCAGTTATGGGGATTTAGTGTGCTCTGGTCCTCCTTCAATAAGCTTTACAGAAGGAAGGAGAACTTCAATTCTGTGAGTTGGTTAGATAGAGGTCAGGTAAAACTGTTTCTCCTGTTTTGTGATCATTGATGAAAAATGTTTCCTAATAAGTTCTCCTTTCCTTTTCTCCCTTGGTTCTATCTAGAGAATATTTTAACGTGAATAAAGGGTAGGAAAAGAATAGCATTGAAGAATGATGAATACTGGCAGATGAAAGTAGAGTTCTACATACACAATTAAATTGTAGTCCTTCTACAATGTAGGTCTTTCCTTCTTTCATGATCTTTGGGAACTAATTAAAACAAATTAGGTGTGAAGAAATAGAAGATCGGGCTAATTTTGGTATGTGGAAAAAGTTAGCAGAAATTCTTAAATTATGTTCAAATATGATAGTCTTGTCTTTTTTGTCTTCTCTCACCATCATAGGTTTTTGTTTAGGAGTATTATAGACTTTCTATGTTACCCTGTGGTTTTTCTTTGCTATTTAGCACATTATTATTAAGCTCAGGGTATGCTGAGGAGATTCACCCTAACCAAGTGTACTTCTGAAAGGTATACTAATAAAAGATACAAGTATAATTCAGCACGCTGTCAAATAGATGTGCTTTATGTGATATTTGGGCTTCAAGTTCTCTTAAATAATTGGTAAGCTATATTATTATTATTAATAATTCCTTAGATTTGTAACATTTGATAGTTTTCAAAGTTTTCATAGACATTTTGTTATTAAGCTGTATGTCAACTCAGTGAAGTTTTTAAGAAAAGTGATAATCTCATTTTCATATTTCTTGCCCAGGGTCACCTTCATGAAGACCTACTCCAATTTTTTTTTTTTTTAATGCTAAGTAGACAGTGCCAACTAAATGTAATTTTATGTGACTTTGTAAATGAAATTACATGTACTATTAATTTCATACCTTTTCCCCAACAGTAGACAAAGGAGGCTTTAAGAGAGTAGGGGGAGAATAGAATTTTTCCTTTTAATGAGATCAAGAGCAGCCGGGAGAGAGCTTTCTTGCTTCTGCCCAGGTCCTTTTGTTCTTTCTAGGTAACTATAGAATTTAAGTGTTTTGAAAAGGCTTTATGTTTATTTTGACCAAATACCTTTTCCCAGAATTGTCCAGAATAATCTGGACTACAGAATATTCAGTTACTGTAGCAGGAGAAACCTCTCTATAAGACTGTTCTTCTTTCCACAGAAATTCTACCTTTTCTGTATTTAGTTTAAATTATGTAATAGCAAGTTTGTTAATATGATACCATAAAGATAGACTGTACAAAGATAGCAGTAACAGTTGATAAATATCTTTGTGGAGTCAAAGTAGGTTACATTTGATAGTCTGTCTTTTTTGGCTTCTCTCACCATCATCTGCTGGGTTTTTGGTTTTTTTTTTTTTATGTGTGTGTGACTATAATCTGTAAATTAGTTTGTGATGAAAACCTACTCATATTTGATGGACATTGAATTAGTTCCTTTGTGCATTATCTTACTTTACTAAGTTATTCTTCTTAGCAACACAGTGAGGTAATGATTGTTTTTTGCATTTTACAGATAAAGATAGAGAGGTCAAGCAAATTTAAGTAACATTCCTAAAATTACCCAGACATATACTGTGGTTGTAATACCCGTAACTCTCTAGAGTTAGGGTGGGATTAAAATCCAGGTATCCGGTTTCATAGCCATGCTACCTTTTAAAGGGACATTATGAAGATAACAAATATATTGTAAAAGTCAAGAAAAAAATTGAGAATATTTTCATTAACACAGATGTGTGGGATGTAAATTTAATATATATTTCAGGAATAACCAAGGTTGATAATTTAGTTCCCTGTCTTAGCTAGTTTTTAGTATGTGGGAAGCATAGTTAGGAAAGCAGTTATGTTTGGTTTTTAATCTAGAAGTTAGATATATGTCCTTTTTCTTCCCTCATTTTATCCATTGCCACTATTATCTATTTCCTCTTTCTTAATGGCACCCTTATTTTATCATACTTTTCACTTCTCCTGCTCATACTTACTGTGCCTTGTAAGAATACTTAAATTGTCTAATTAAAGCATGAATTTTATTAAATTGGAAAGCAGTAGTGAGTGTCTTTAAGTATTGGTGAATCAGAAATCTGTGAAGTTTGGATCTTAAAGCAGGGACTACAAAAGATCTCAGGAGCATGCTATCTAGACACCTCTCTGTTCCTGGAAGGCTGGTAGTCCAAACTTGAGGGGCTTCTTTGTGAGGCTGGTATAAAATTTCATACCAACCTCTTTCTCCTCTTTCAGTTCACAACTGTTGCCCACACATGTGGCCCAAAGCAGTAGTATATATAGAATACTGCTGCCCAACCATCATATCATGACAGTTTGCAAATTAAAGTATGTGGATAATCCACTAACTGTATAAGATGGCCCTAACAAAATAAGGATCATGGAAAGCACTATTTTAGGTAGGCATTTTCAGTTGAGTGAAATAAAATGTGATACCATATTTATAGTCAAGAAAATTATAGAATAAGGAGAAGTTTTAATAATTTGGATTAAATTGAGGGAGGAGGAAAAATGAGGAAGGAGGCCAGTCTAGATGTATGGAAAAATATCTGTAATTATATAATTCTAGATGTGAATAAAGATAATGATTTTTGAGATCACTAGATTTTGTATATTTATGATTTTTATTCCTTTCTGAATGTTCACCTTGGAAGACAAAAATATAAAATGATTTTTTAAAAAATCGAGTATTTTTTGTGTGCCAGATGCAGTACAGTCATTAATTGTTTCAGAACTCTTTCTTGGGGAGGGAGATTCCTATTGAACTAGTTTATGAACACAGAAAAATACTCGTACAATATTCCCTTTGGATGGACAAAAGGACTGACTTAATATTATTCCTTCTGAGAATGAATGTCTTTAGACTCTTTCTGATAACTAGATTTATTTTTAGAAGAAAGATTTGCAAATGTGAAAGCTGTTAAGATGATTGTCAGATGCCTTCTGAATGCAAGGTACCAGCAAGGTATTCTAAGAGTGTTAATTCATTCATCATCTTACCCCTCAGAGAGGTCCTGTCTAATAAGGGAAGTAAGACACTTACCAAAACTTGCATGTAGATAATTAAGGGAGGCACAAACAAGTGCTAGGAGAGTTGAAATTATTCTAGGTTGTAGAAGTATGGTGTTTGTTTTGTTTTCTTTTTCTAAATAGTTACATTTTATAGTCGTGGCTTCTTACATTTAAATTTTTATCTCATTGTTTTTAAGTGGGTACAATAATGAACTCTATACAAAATAAGTATTGTCTAGGAGAAGCCCTAGAGGAATTTCTTTTAATTATTAGATAATAGAATTTAATAAATGTTTGAGTGCCTCTTGGAGAAATCAGAGGTCATTAAGGCAAGATCCTTGCCCTTAAAGAACTTAATCTAACAGAGATTTGAATTACTTGCTTTTAGCATGTCAAATGTTGATGCCTGAAATACTTTTCTAAAGTAGTTCATTACTTCAGAATGTTTACTCTGTAATTTTGTTTGCATTGTTAATTTGCTTAGTAAAACTTTTCTTCATGGATAATATAAATGTAAATTTCAGCCAAATTCTAAATTAATGCATTTTGATTTTTGAAGTTTTAAAGTTATTTTAAAAGAATATGGTATTCCCTGTAACTTTGCATCTTGAAGACAGCAATAAATATAATTCTAGGCTGAGACAGATGAAAGATAGTTGGTTTGTTCAAGAAGTTGCGGATTTCTTATGGGTTTTTGACTTATTATTATCAAGTTCTGTATTATAGTTCCTTGTAAATCTTGTTTTTTTCTGTGTCTTAGTATCTAATTCAATGCCTGGCGTCTATTAGATGCTCAATAAATACACTTAAAAATGAGGCCGGGCGTGGTGGCTCACGCCTGTAATCCTAGCACTTTGGGAGGCCGAGGCGGGCGGATTGCTCAAGGTCAGGAGTTCAAAACCAGCCTGCAGCGAGACCCGTCTCTACCAAAATAGAAAGAATTAATGACCAACTAAAATATATATATACAAAAATTAGCCGGGCATGGTGGCGCATGCCTGTAGTCCCAGCTACTCGGGAGGCTGAGGCAGTAGGATCGCTGAGCCCCGGAGATTGAGGTTGCTGTGAGCCAGGCTGACGCCACGGCACTCACTCTAGCCTGGGCAACAAAGTGAGACTCTGTCTCAAAAAAAAAAAAAAAAAAAAAAAATGAGTGTGACTTCACCTGCTACTTTTGATTTTTGCCACCTCCCAAGTCTGTGAAAACATTCCTTTAGTGTATATAATTATCCACTTCCATTTCTTTCGCTTGACTTTACAAACCGCTTTAGATCAGAACCAAGCTCTGCGACTGTGTCTGGGCGGCACTAGTGTTGGAGGTCAGTATGGAGCCATCTCGGCCCTCAGCATCAACAATGACTGCTCGAGACTTCTTTGTGGCTTCGCTAAAGGTCAGGTAAGATGCGAACTTTCTTTTATCCATAAGACAATGTTAAAGTCAATTTTTAAAAACTATACTCTTTAGATCAATATTTTGAAGACCAAAACACGTGTTATGAAGTGATATATCTCTAGAGGTAACCTGAGATTGCTCAATCTGGCTTCTGTTTTGTTCAGATTTTTAAATAATTGTTATTGACTGACCCAGAGTGTGTAATTTTTTATATCCTAATTCATGTGTCTATTTGAGTAAATAGCTTTCATAATCCAACCAGGGCATAATGTAAAATGTCGTTCCTTATGGAAGTGTGAATAATTGTGGCTGCTTTTTAGATACACTGTATTCTGCTTTCTGTATTCTTATTGTGTTCTTGGATAACTACTTTGGTGTTTCTTTCTACTTCTGAAACTGGTGATAGGTTTTTCCCATCTTCTAATTTCTGCATCACTAGCTGGTTTGGCAATAGCCTTTTCTATAATCTTTACCAGTGCTAAACAGATTGACTTATTAGAGAAGTTTCTTTTACCTCTTAGCATAAGAACAACAGTTACAATCTAAAAGGAAAAGTAGGTTGGGCAGGATGAGGGATAGATGAAGATGGAATAAAGGCTCCATGCTTTAATGGATCTGTACCCCTTAGGTATGTTTTAACTTTATAGTCCTTTGCCTGTAATGTTTATAGACCAGGAATAGATTATTTCAGCCAGAAGACAGGATACTTAAGTCCAAAAAGAGCAATAAATTTGTTTTTAAAGCACTTAGTTGTCTTATAGATCACCATGTGGGATTTGGCCAGTGGAAAACTTCTAAGATCAATAACAGATGCTCATCCTCCAGGAACAGCAATATTGCATATCAAGGTAATAGCTTTGTTTTCTTTTTATAATGATTTTGATTATTATGCCTTTGAGTCTATTTTAAAGTAAATTTTTCTGTATTGATAATCAGAAGTCTAAAAAATGTATTTAACATGAAGCGGAACACTACTTTATTAATAGAATTCTTAATATTGAACTAACTATCTTTTATTTGACTAGCCCCGCGTGATGTTTTCCCAAGTTAAAAAAAAGAGATGGGCTAGTATGGAAATATTTAACTTCAAGTTGTGTTGAAGTCTAATAGATATAGCAGCCAAAAGGGCAAATTGATGTGATCCTAGACTGGAGGTTGGCAGTAAAGACAAGCAGCACCCTGCTGAAACTCATATGGAGATTGTAAAAGGTCTTTTACCTTGGTTTAGTCCGCCAAAATTTTATTACTGAGGTCGTGTGCGCTGTCGCCTTTTGTTGCAAGTGCATGAGGTTCAAGGCACCGATTGTGAAAGAAGCAGCATTTGGATTATGTTTAGAAATGAATCTATTGGTTTATTTTCTTTCAGGCCTCTAAAGGGAAAGAATTAAGATCCTAGTCTTGGCTTTCTCCTTATAGGCCTGAAAAAATTAAACTGACTTAGGTAACAGATTTTATTTATAAGTACAATGTGGACATTGATTCTTGCATACTGTCAGGCCCATGTTCAGAAGCATTTAAAAGGTAAAGGATTGTACCTAGGGAAGTCTAAAATCAGATCTTTTAGATTTTAATCATGTACACATTTTGTTGCTTAGCTGTGCAGAGCTCTCTCATCTATACATATGCTTTTTAAAGTCCATAAGCATCTGGAGTTTAAATGTCTATATATAGGTTAGTCACAAAAAAGTCTTTTGTGACAAAGCATCATTGAAGCATTTAGTAACAATGAAAATACCCAAGACAAGTAAAAGTGGAGAGAATTTATCCTCTTTCAGAACATTATGGTAATTTATCTTGACCTCTTTTCATATAGCATATGCCAACTTCTCATATGTTTTAGTTGCTTATATATATGTCTTCTCTCTCTTAATAGATTGAGATCTTTGAATCAGAATCTGTTAGTCATTTATTTTTGTGTTTTGCCCATAGTAGCTGCTCAATAAATGTTTGATTGAAGGAATAACTAGTTGGTGTTGTTGATAAAAGGCCAATGGGTTTGCAGGAAAAAAACCAAAATTACTGGGAGAAACAATAAGAAACAAAAGAAATAAAGACAGAAAAAAATGCAGCTGAGATTAAAAGCATAGTAGACGGAACCAAGTGTTGCTTGGGAATGGTGATGAAGGTAGTGCGTGCAGACACTGACATTAGAGAAAGAATATGATTAATACTTTTTAAATTCTAAATAAAGGTAGGTTTGTATGTTTAGAGTGATGAGCTGAATCTAGGTTATTTCAAATACTATTAAGTGTGTATATTGCAGATTTTCAATATTCTCTAGTTTTTCCTCTTCTTAATATTTAACTAGATATTTAAATATCTATAAGAAAATAAATTCCTCTCTTTTTAGTTTACAGATGACCCAACTCTTGCAATTTGCAACGACAGCGGAGGCTCTGTTTTTGAATTGACATTTAAGTAAGAGACCAATGGACATTTGTTGACAAATGAAAAGACTAGCTATGGTTTCATATTTGAAATTGAACATGAAGAGGGCTAGAAAGCCCGTGTGATTGAGAATACATTATGGCTGTGTGTTACAATTACCTGGGCAGGCTTGTAGAACATATGGAGTTCTGGGCCCAAGTCTTCCGAAGTTTTATCGCAGTAGGTCTTAGTAGGTCTTATTTGCTGTCAAGCTTGGGAACCAGTATTCTGAGCTACTCTGTACTGTAGCAGCTCATTAATTTTGGTTTAGGTTCAAGGCCCAGTTGATTATAACCATAATGTACAGGTGTAAAAATGTTTTTATTGCCTGAGAAAATAGCCTTGTTTGCTCTTTAAATAAAAACAGACTGTCTAGATACATAGAAGAACATTTATGAAGCTGAATTTTTTAAAGTAGTACATAATATTCATTGAATGTTTCCATAAGTTCTTCAAGGTTAATAGTTATGCTATCTTTGTTTCTTATATTTCTTATAGCTTCTAACAACACTGAGCAAAAAGTAATTTCTGAAAAGATACTATTCATTATTCAGCTAATGTTTGTTGGGCATTTCCTATACTTAGGCTTTTATCTAGACACCAGAGTTATAACTGTGAACCAGGCAAGGTTCCTACTCTAATAGAATTTATTTTCTAGTTGTGGAGACAGATAGTAAGCCAACACCTAAATGAAATGACATCAGATGGGTATGAGTGCTGTGACGAAAAGAAGACAGCTTAGAGTGCTGGAAAGCATTTCAGGATAATTCAAGAATGAATTCTTGAATTCATTCACCCCTACTTCTCAGAAGGGGTAACATTTGAAAAAGACCCAAATGATGAGCCAGTCAGCAAATGCAAAGATCTGTAGGAAATGTTCCAGGCAGAGGAGCATTTGAATAGAAAGGCTTTGAGGTGGGCACAAACTTGGCCTGCTGGAGCAACGGAGAGAAGGCAGGTGCGACTGGAGCATGACTTTGTCAGGTACGCTGTAGTGGGAGAGGAATGAAAGCAGGAGCCAGAGCATATCCTTTGAAGACATGGCTAAAGAGTTGGAGTTTTATTTTACATACAGTGGCAAGCCCGTGGACTGTTTTTAGCAGAAGAGTGATTGATCCAACCTGTATAATAAAAAGATTATGCAGCTGTTGTATGGAGCTTGGATTGTTGGAGGTAAAAGGAGGAGTTAGGAGGCTATTAAAGTAGTACAAGTTAGGGATGATAGTGACTTGGATCATTGCTAAATTGATTTTGAATTTTTGGATTACATTTTCAGGAGAGTGATGGGAGTGAGAACATGTGAATCTAGATGTCTCTTCAGTGGTTCCAAGGGTGAAGTTTGCTGTATTGAGCCTCTACATTCTAAGCCTGAATTGAAAGATCATCCCATCACACAGTTTTCATTATTGGCCATGGCATCCTTAACAAAGGTAGCTATATTTAGATGGTGAAACGCATGACTTTCAGAGGCTTTGAATATGAAAAATTTGAAAATTTCGAGATAAATATTGAACATAAATTATATTTCTCTCCTAAAGATACTGGTCATTGGATTGAAACCATCCTTGAAAGTATGGATGACTTTTCCCTATGGTCGGGTGAGTGAGCCTCTCCATCTTATTGGGAAAAGGAGGGACCATGTCGGGAGGTTGAGGGAAATGATTTGTAAGGGCTAATTCTGTGAAATTGTCAAAAAACTAGGTAGAATGAAAGTCAGTGCTCCAAAGATCATTGTCTGGACTTGCCTTAAGGTGACCAAAGCAGCATAAGCTGGTGACTAAACAATGTCCTGGGGATCATGAGATCTTGTACTTTTCTATTTTTATCATTTTAGGTTTTTCTATCATAAACAGCATATAGTTGGTTTTTGTTTTTAACCTCAATTTGACAATGTCTGTGTATTGCTGTCCTGGCACTTTGTGGTCACACCTAATTTCATGCGTGGATTTTCCTAGCTTCATTTACTGCCCTTTTGAGTGGAGTCTAATTCCCTTACTGGATTTAAAGCTGGAGGCTAAGCTGATATAGTAAGTCTGAGCCCTGATTTTCAATGTTTTAAAGACATTTGTTTTTGTGTGACTGCTGCACTGAGACAGGATTATGCTCATTGTCTCCTGCTTTGATATGGAACTACTGATAAGAGTATACCCTGCAGTGTACCGACAGAGTACACCCCAACATAAATGGCTGCTATGTATGCTTTCCTTGGCTTCTGCCTCTGATATTTTACTCTGGGGGATGATACTTCCCAGCATATTTTATTCATACCCCAGTTTCCCCTCTCTTTCCTGCTTGGGTGTTTTCAGAAAGTTGTGATCTTCCAGTGTATAGATGAGGAAAGGTATTGATGAGACAGGATGGGGAATGATGGTACAGGACTCTGGCTAGTTCAGAAAGCAGCCCCTATCCTGAGCGAGTTCTCTCTTGTTTTCTTGTTGGTACCCTGTGTGTCTCTGAGCCCCAGGGGGGAAGCAAATCTGTCCTTTTAGATGGCAAAACTTGCTTAGATTGCCATTAACATTTTGTAGGTTAGCTCCATTAGTTAATTGAGGTTTATATCATGGTGCTATGTGTTTGCTTCTTTTTGTATGTTTTTATTGGCATCTTTCCCAGTTCAAACAAGTAGAGCAGTTGGAAGAATTTTACATTGAGCACTTGTATATCTATCATCCAGATTCTACTATTAACATTTTACTGTACCTTCTTTATTACCTATCTGTCCATGTATCTGTCTCTCTACGCACTCATCAAACTGTATTATTTTGTTATGTATTTCAAAGTAAATTATAGAAACCACTGCTCTTTCTCCTAAATATTCAGCATGCATAGCATTAGCTAGAGTTTAGTATTTGTTTAGTTTTTCCTTTGATGTAAAATTTACATACAAAGAAATGTACAAATGGAGAGTGTACATTTTCTGCACTTTGACAAATGCATATATTTTTGTAACCCAAATTCCTATTAAGATATAGAACATTACCATCAACTCAGACAGTTCCTTTGTGACACTTCTGTATCAGTCTTGCTTCAATGACATTTTTATAAGAACTTGGGAAAAGTTTTCTCAAAGAATACTAGTCAGAGGCTGTTTTTAACTAGAGTTTTTTCTTTGTCCTCCTGTTTATTAATTGTGGTAACTTTTTCCCCCTTTTCTCACTTAGATGGATCCTTCCAGTGTTCCATTGCTGGCCTGGCACTTCGTGGCAGTGCATAATTATGTCAATCCCATGCTAGCCTTCTGCAGAGGAGATGTTGTTCATTTTCTGTTGGTAAGTCTTAATATGCTAGGTCTGTTATAAGTCTCTCATAATTTTTTTCCCTGATTCACCAGTAATTTAATATTGTATCAATAAAAAAAAATTATTCAGGCATGGTGGTACATGCCTATAGTGCTGTAGTGCCAGCTACTTGGGAGGCTGAACAGGAGGTTCACTTGAGCTCAGGAGTTCAAGGCTGTACTAAGCTATGATCACATCACTGCACTCCAGCCAGGGCAATAGAGTGAGACCCTGCCTTTAAAAAAAAAAAGAAATGTATTTTACTACAATAAGTCTTTGGAGACGAGTGACTTGTTTAATTTTTATTTAAGGAGTTAATGGTTAACATAAAAAAAACCCAGTTACCCTAAGCTTCATAACCTTTCAGTTTATTTCTCAGTTTCATTTACTTTGACTGACAGATAATTGATGGTTTATGTGTATGTATAAACGTATGAATGTGAATGTGTATGTATTGGTTTACCTATTTACATAGATAACATACATATTTAGTAGATAGAGAACAAGTATAATGGAGTATCTACTGTTCCCTACACTGTGATGGGCACAAGAAGCAATTAGGGAAGGTATACACATGGCTTATAATATTGTTTGAAAAGCAAAACCAGCATATTTATTACTATTAGAGAGAATAGTTTAATGCTTGACCATGTGATGAGAATTAAAAATTGATATAAATTCAGAGTATGAAGAGATTAGTATGGACTAGAGAGGCTGTGGACAGCTTTATGATGGATATACAGCCAATATCGCAGGAGGGGTAAGCGTATTGGGGGAAACGAGGTGAACTGATGTCACAGAGGGAAGAGTGTGCCTATGTAATCTCTTTGTGGGTTTCCTAGCTCAGTGAAGTGAGTTCACCACCATCTACCCAGCCTCTCCAGCTAGAAACCTAGGAATTGCCTTTTATTAATAGTTACCTTTCCCCTTCATATGTGCTTCATTACCAAGCCCTGTTGACTCTACTTCCAAAATCTCTTGACCTTCTCCCTTTTTGTCTCCTCTGTAGCTGTTTCCCTAGTCCAAACCACTTACGTTTCTAGCCTGGACTCTGCAGTAGCTTTCTAACTAGTCTCTGGCCTCAGTGCTTTACATGTGCTATTGCGTCTGCCAAGAAAGTGCTGTGCTCTTTTCACTGTGTCCTAGCTCATGATTAAAATTGCCTCACCTGATCTCCTGAACCAAGTCAGTGCCTCCTGCCACACACACAAAGGCCTGCTAAGACCCTTCTCCTCTGATAACATTCAGCACTTTTTAAGTTAGTTATCTTATGTTTTTCTCCTCAGTAGACTAAAAGTCTAGAGATCAACTCTACTGTTACATTTCTAGCCACTAGGGAAGTGCTTTTATGTAATAGAGGCTTTAACAAATGTTTATAGAATTAATGACAGGGAGAAACCTATGGTGGAAAATAAAATTGAGTATTTGGGGTGGATCTAGATTAGGGATTGAAAAACTATGGCCCATGGGTCAAATCTGGCCAGCCATCTGTTTCTGTAAATAAGTTTTATTGGAACACAGTCATGCCCATTTGCTTATATATTATTTATGGTCACTTTTTCATTACAGTGGTAGGGTTGAGTAGGTGTGACACAGACCGTATGGTCTGCAGAGCCTAAAATATTTGCTGTATGGTGCTTCTCAGAAAAAGTTTGCTAACCTTTGATTTAGGTTGTGTAATGATTGGCCTGGATTGGTAATGGGGAGCCATCATAGCTAGTAAAGATGAGATTAAATTGATATTTTAGGAAGATGAGTCTATAACTAGCAAAAAAAAAAGAAATAGATTATAGAAGGTAGGGAGGAAATTGAAGTTTTTTCTCTTGTAATAAAGCAGGTATGAGGTGGTTAGACAAGGTTGGTTGGTTGCAGTGAGAGTTAAGGGATGATACTTTGAGAGAAAGACAAGGCTTCTCATCATATTGTTTCTAGGGACTGAAGGACGTGAACAGAACATTACATGTATAAATTTGCATATTAGAATCAAGAAATATTCAAAGGGAGATTATTTGGGGAGAAGTTGATTATGGAAGATTTCAATGTGTTGAGTTGGAAGTGAAGGTGGGACTCTCAAGTGTGGTATCAGGGGGTGTCCGACAAGATGATGGCAGTCCAGGTCTGGAGTACAAATGAGAATTCCAGGATAGAGAAGGTAGCTGAAGCTCTGAAAATCAAAAGTTAGAGCATATATAACCTTGGTGGACACCCATGCAAGGGAAAGGAAGAAAGCAAAGCAGGAAAAGAGATTCCTATAAAGACACATAGGTAGGAGAGGAAGTCGGACAGTGTGGTGTTACACAGAGGACAAAGAAGGAAGGCTTCTCGGACAGTATCAATTTTGGGATAATACCAATGTAAGATCAAGAAAGATAAGGACCACTGAACATATCAAGAAGTGTTTCATTAGAAACTTTTCAGAGCACTGATGGTCAGTATACTGGAGATAGAAGCTAGATTGTAGAACCTTGTTTAGAGTATTTTGATGAGCAAACTCATACAATGATAGTGTTTGGTTGTGAGAGAGAGTGTGGTTAAATATTGTCTTTCAAAAGTAAATCAAGGAAAGAGTTTTAAAAATTTTTTTTTATTTGAAAGTGGAGAAGAGAAAAACATGTTTGAGAGCAAAAGGAAAAAAAGGGCTATTAAAAAGGAGTGATTAAATATGCTGTCAAGAAAGGGGTAACATTAAACAGTGATGGAGGGGAGTAGGATCTAGAGTATGCAGTCATGCACTGCATGACAAAATTTTGGTTAACGGTGGACCACATATACGACAGTGTTCCCATAAGATTATGATACCTTATTTTTATTGTACCTGTTCTATGTTTAGATATGTTTAGATACACAAATACTTACCACTGTGTTATAGTTGCCTACTGTATTCAGTTCAATAACATGCTGTACAGGTGTATAGCCTAGGAGCAATAGACTATACCATATTAGGTATATAGTAGGTTTCACCATCTAGGTTTGTGTAAGCACGTTCTATAATGTTTGCACAGTGACAAAATCACTAAGGACACATTTCTCAGAATGTGTCTTCATTGTTAAGTGATGCATAACTATATGTAGGTGAAGTGATTTTCTTTTTAGAAAGAACTTAGAAAATCTTAGAGGAATAGATAACATTGTCATTGATCTTTTCAGTTTGTGAAATACTATTTCAACATATGCAATGTATAGAACAATTTGATGCTATCTTATTTTCATTTTATAGATGAGGAAACAGAAAGAATAAGTCATTGCCCTTGTTAACACAGCTATAATAGTGGAACTTAAATACGTAGCTCTAGATGCCATAATCATTTTACCAGAGCATCCTTTCTGTGGGGGAAACGATTTAGTGAAGATAGAACTATGTGAAGGGCCCTCATTAAGTGATCCCACTTTTTTGATAAGGTATCAGATGACATCAGCATTGTAAGTGATGGGATTAGAAGGCAAAGAGGAATTGGGACTTAAAGGAAAAGGCATCAAGACCACTATCATTGAGAGTATGCAAGAAAACCCAGGTTGAATCGAATGTCATGACTTTCAGGGGATCAGGTGTATCTTGTGCTTTATCTTTCTTCAGTGTTCTACAACCTTGGTGCAGAAGTGGAGAAAGCAAATTATAAGGATGATCAAGGTTTATAGAGTATACATGTGTACATATATAAATAAAATATTGACATGAGTTTCTTTTGGGAAATTTTGGGCTGTTTGAGCTATAGTGGTATAGTTCAGAAAAATCTAGTTTTGTCACTGTGGTGTCTTCTCTTTAATGAACTTGGACTTCATCATACCATGTCACCAATCCCATTTCATACTTTCACTCTAGCTACATGTAGTCATTGATGTTATAAATTTAGGTTGTTCTGAATTATGAAAGAGTCAGAATTATATTAATACTGACAATTAGACCACCAGCCAGATAATGCTTTGGATTTTGGTACAAATCATGGAGTGAATGATTTTTTTTTAATTTGTATAATAGTTTCTTTAATTATCAATATTTTTGGCCTGTCTATACCAAATGAGAATTATGCTCTGCTCTAGGTGGAGTATAATTAAGTATCTTAAAAAGTCACTCAAACAATAAACGACATTTACATTGTTTTATTTCATCATCAGGTTAAGAGAGATGAATCTGGAGCAATACATGTTACAAAGCAAAAGCATCTTCACCTATACTATGACCTCATCAACTTTACTGTGAGTATTATTTAAATTAAATATCCCCATTTATTTTATGTAATTGTTCTGAATTCAGGGTGTATTAAATCTACCAGGATTATTTTTATTGTACCTTTTCTATGTTTAGGTATGTTTAGATACATGAATACTTACCATTGTGTCATGGTTGCCTACAGTATTCAGTACCATAGCATGCTGTACAGGTGTATAGCCTAGGAGCAATAGACTGTGCCATATTAGGTATGTAGCAGGCTTTACCACCTAGGTTTGTGTCTTGAACCATGACCTTTGGGATGATATAAAATATGAACAGAAGTGAAGTCCTGCTTGAATAAAGTCTGAGTTTGGTATGATGTCACATCATTATTGCCTTTCAGCCTTATGTCCAGCTGAACGTTCACTAGCAGTACTAGTAGTTTTCTTTAATGTCTTGATTAGCTCAAAAGAGAGTTTGGATTCCAAAGAATTTAGGTGGTTTTCTTCAGGGATTATTGCCCTGCTTCCTCTGTAAACACATTTTTATATTTCTGAGCTTGTCTTAATTGGTCCTTTGGTCTTATTTGTGTAACCTTTTCTTGTGTCTAAAAGCTTTGCAGAGTTCTCTCTCTATTATGCATCTCAGTCCTGAGAAACTTCCTGTTTTTTAAAAAAAAAGAGATTTCTTTTTGTATCAAATTTTATTATCTCTTTTTCAAATAGTGTGCTAATTTTGAGAGTAGTATAATTATAATATTTCTGGACTTCTGTCATTAGTGCTTTTAGAACATCAGTATCTACAAGACATTCTATATATGCATGAATATAGGCAATGCTAAATATAAGCTGGTAACTAAAAAAAAAAAAAACAAGGCTTATACTTTGGAAAAAGGAGAGCTTTATTTCTCATAAAGGGTAGCAAGCTGTTGGGTGCCCATTCCAACAGATTGGGAAGCAGAGACTGGCCCAAAAGCCAGGCACACATGCTTCAAAGAAGAGACAAAAGGGAACAGGATTTTATACTGAACAGGGTAGTCAAATATACATATTTAACAAGCTATAGGAGGAGTCATGAATATTTATGAAGGGAAATCATACACATGTAATTGTGCTTCCTCTCTACCATCCCATCGTGGCTGGGAACTCAGTTTTAAGCTGTTTGTAAGATCCCCTTGGCCAAAGGGGTCCATTCAGTTAGTAGAGGGCTTAGGATTTATTTTTATTTCATAGGCCATGCCTCATTTTTCCAGTTTAAAAAGACTAAAAGAGTTTTTTCTCTAACATGATAATATATAATTTTTCAGGATATTACTGAAATAGTCAGATCTGTTTTTCATAATACATGATTTGTTCATTTAGTTGCACATTGCATTTGAAACTCACATATAGACAGACTACTGATTTAGAAATAATGCTTTTTTCCATGTGTATGAAATAATTTTGTTCAGACTCTTATAAGACATAAGTGTCTTCGTCATCACCAGAACCCCTTGTTGAATCATCTAACACAGTTTTCCAGAATTTATCATCATCACTTCTGTTTAAGATGTTTGAGATACAGTACTTTTAAAATCTGCATATGTCACTGGAAATTTTTCCCCAACCACAAGTAGCCATTCTGCTAACAGTAGGACAGTTGGTGTTTTCATTTGTCCTGTGGCATATCCATGATGTGACCGTTAATTGCACTGTTTTGTAAATTACCTTTAAAAGGCTTGTTTACAATAATGTCAGCACTTGGCAATTGTGAGGGTCTAATCCCAGGAATAATTACTAAACTTGTTAAGGTTCTTTGGCTCTCATCCTCGCTCTTTCTTTTAGCCAGGTGACCTAACAACTAGCACTGATTAAGGTGGATAAGGCTAAATTAATGTGTCTTTCCTAAATTTTGTTTTTCTAAATAATCAAGAGAAGACCTTGTAAGAACTCTTTGTAAAAGATTTGCACATCAAACTCCCTGTGTTCTGAGCAGTGTTTTGGAAGGTGGGGGAAACAAACCCTTCCCTTATAGTGGCCCTATACAATATTAATAGAGTATTATCTTTAGTCTATGTTAAAAGAAAATTAACCCATTTCCAATTTTGTTGTCTTTGCTATGGCATTATGCAAATAATCTCTGATAACATGGAATAGGCATATAAATAAACCAACATGATTATCAGAGAGAAAGTGCAGGGGAAACACTGTGTTCTATCTTCTTTTGGATACTAATTGAGCAGATTTTAAGATTTCATTTATTTCTTGGGAAATAATTGAGATTTCTAAAAAATAATTTGAAAATAAGAAATCTGATTTTATACATAACCCAAGAAATTTGTCAAAATGACATCCTTGAGAAGATGTTTTAAACTATTAAATTAGTGTTCCTTAAAGTTTGGCACTTGTCCCCGAGACAGCATCAGAAGAACAGGACAAGTGGTTTGAGGAAAAGGAAAGAGAATTTTATTAATTTGCCAGCTTAAAGTACCACTGTCTTATCTATAAGCAGAAATATGGAGCTTTTAAAGGGAGTTTTCAGCTTCTGGCTACTGCTGTTTAACTGTAGCATCTTTGGTGAAGACAATCTGTGAGCCATCCCGTGGTACAAAGAACAAAGGACAATCCCCTGCCCCTCTATTACTGGCTTCAGTGAGGAATGCAGATTTTAATTCCCAAAAAGTATGTTGGGGGGAGGGTTTAAAAACACAACGTGTAATACATTTTGCCCTTTTCCAGGCCCTTACTTCTGTTACATTAACTTTTAAAATTATAATAGGACTTATTAAAGAAAATTCAGAAGCTACAGAGAGATAGAAGGAGAAGAGAACTCTCCCATAATTTTTAGGGAGCTTTTAAGGAAATATATTTTTTAAGTAGCTTCAATTTTAAAATATATATTGCTCAATACTTTGACCAACTAGGCTTATGAGGTTTAATTTGCCCTTTTTTTCATTAATATCATAAAAACTAGAAATGTAGTTTGTCACTATGCTAATGTCATTTATGCCAATATAGTTGTAAAAATTATTTATAAAACCAATATATCCTATAATCTGTCTATTACAGGTCTTAGTTTTCTTTTACACTATGTAAGTGTCATTTTAACACCACCAAAACTCAGTAGTATCTTGTACCTACTGTTCTCTGGGCTGTCACTGAGTAGTTCTTGCTGTGATTGTGTTCCCATGTAAGTTATTTAGTAGATAAGGTCCTCAGTGTAATTTAACTGAGTGGCCAAGCTCTCTTCTTGTCTGGAATGATGATGTGTGTTGGGCCTCACTTTCATTTTGTTGGTGTGCTTGAATTGCAGTGGATAAACTCACGCACAATTGTGCTCCTAGACAGCGTAGAGAAGTTGCATGTGATTGATCGGCAAACTCAAGAGGAATTGGAAACGGTGGAAATCTCAGAAGTTCAGTTGGTCTATAACAGCAGCCATTTCAAATCACTAGCCACCGGGGAAATGTTAGCCAGGCACTGGTAAGGGTAACCCGTTATCTTGATATACGCTTTGATAAACTTGATATTTTGTTGTGTGTTTTTTTGTGGGTTTTTTTTGGGGGGAGGGGATTGAAATAGGAATTCTGTGGAGTTATCGTTCTACCTTGAGGTTTTTTTTAAAAAGTAGGTTGAAGTAGGCATGGATGTGTTTATAATTATTCAAGGGTGTGAGCTAAAGCAATAATTCCTATTAATTTCTATTCAGAAGTGTGACTATTTAACTTAATACCAAAGAGTTTTAACTTTTATAGTAAAATAAATGAAGTGAAATGAAACATTTGTGAGAAAGAAATTATAAAATCAAACTATTTTACGTAGTTTAATCTGGTGGCAGTAAACTTGATAGATTTAAGGGACAAATAATTAGAGACATACAGCCTGTGTATTAATATTTGGATGATATGGTAAAGGCTTGAACAGATATACACTATGTGCACTAATAGGCAAAGATGGCTTTGAGAGAAAGAAGATTCTTTAGGAATAGGTGGAATTCTATAGGATAGATGAAATATAGGAGCCTAGAGAGAACGAAGACATAACAAGAGTTCTGAACTTAAGTATTAATTTTATTGTATTATAAGAAACTACAGCAATGGCCTTAAGCAATCTATACAGTTTATAGTTAAATCACTATGAATTGTGATCTCATGTTTCCTAAATCACTCATCTTTAAGTAGGAAATTTAGACTATTATGAAACTTCCATGGATAATTTCTTGAAAAAAAAATAATAACGATGGTCATATTTAATGAGTGACTTGTCAACAGAAAATATCCCAAACTATGTAAAATAATTTAAAGGGGTGTTTATTCTGAACTGCATATATATGACCATAGCTATATATATGACCACTTGCTCAAGGCTTCTTGGGTGTTGCAAGTGGTCTTGCTGTGGTTGGGTTCCAGTTTTGTTTTATACATTTCATGGAGATAGGAATTACATGTAAAGTCATAAATCAATACATGGAAGGTATACATTGGTCCGTCCCCAAAAGGCAGGACATCTCCAAACAGAAAATTACAGGTTATAGGTGGGTTTAAAGATTCTTTAATTTGTAATTGGTTAAAGAAATGAAGCTTTATCCAAAGGCTTGGAATGTTAAGATAAGGAAATCTGTTAATCAGAGACAAGCCCTTGGACATATACTCTAATGCAAGTGATCTTTAAGTAAATTGCTGACCTGCAGGGGTGATTTAAGCTTTGTCTTTGTTAATGAGTTACAAAGGATATCTCTAGAGAGGAAAGGGAGCATGAGGAGGCATGTTTTACCTTCCTCCTTCTGGCCAATAACTTAGTTTTAGGGTATTTATAGGGTCCCCGTGGCCAGGAGGGGGCCCATTCAGTTAATTGGGGGCTTAAGATTTTATTTTAGTTCACACACTACAGCATGATGTGTAAGCTCTGCTCAAATCTTCCTCATAGTCATAGTATAAAATATATGTGAAAGGGTCTTCTAGTCCCCTGATGTTAAAAACAAGAATAAGAAATGGTAGTGCAATAGAATTCATTAAAGCAATAATAATTACTGTCCCATACTTAGATATTTCCTTGTGTTTAAGTGTTATTAAAAATACTATTAGGGCTGGGCATGGTGGCTCATGCCTATAATCCTAACACTTTGGGAGGCCTAGGAAGAATACTTGAGGCAAGGAGTTCAAGACCAGCCTGAGCATCATAATAAGACCCTGTATCTACAACAAATAGAAAAATTAGCCTGGTATGGTACACACCTGTACCATACCATCTGCTTGGGAGGCTGAGGCAAGAGGATCATTTGAGCCCAGGAGTTGGAGGTTGCAGTGAGCTATGGTGACATCACTGCACTCCAATCAACTCTCTCTCTCTCTTTCAAAAAATAATATCTTAAACTTTGAACTTGTACTTTCAGTCAAGATGGAGTAATGGGGGATTGGATTTACTCTCCTGTCTGAAATAACTACCCCATCACTCCAAAAAATAAAAGTCAGGGGAAAAAAGAAATAGCAGTTCTCAAGATATTGGACATCAATAATGAAGGACTGTAGTCTCTGACAAAATGGGGAACAAATGACCTGAGCTCTATGATTGTCCTCACTTCCAGCCTTGAGTTTCTGGGCTGTGGCTCAGAGAGGAGGAGCCCAGTTGGAGCCTGGAGGACATCTTAGGAAGACACAGCTGAGACTGCAGGAAGACAGTGGGGGGAGGAGTTTGCAGGCCGGTACTAGGGAGGAGAGCACTATCAAAGAGTCCCCCTTGAGTATTCACAGACTACTGATGGGCATATGCATGTAAGGAAGCTACCCAAGGATAGGGAAAGAGCCATTTGAAAGGTCTAGAGGGAATCATATTCAGTGCTCACACAGGGCTGACAATAGTGCTTGTTACACCAGCCGGAATGAAAAGTAGTGGCGAATAATTAGGGCTAGAGTAAATGCTGTGGCAGTCCCCACTAACAAATCTTAAAAACAAGACCAGAAAGGATCAAACTGTTTTCAAGTCACTTAAGTATCTCCCAGAACAAAGCACAAGAATATTAATAGGAACACAGAACTTTATGCCAATAAATTCAACAACTTTTGATGAAATGGAAAAATTTCTTGAAAGACACATATTACCAAAGCTGACTCAAGAAAGAAATAGAAAACTAAGTGGCCATATATCTAATAAAGAAATTAATTTTACAATTAAAAATCCTTTTATAAAGAAGCTCCATGCCTATAAGGCTTCAGTGGTGGAGTCTGTCAAACATTTAAGGAAGGAATAATACAATTCTACACAAAAATCTTTTGGAAAATAGAGGAGAAGGGAGCACTTAACTCATTTTATAAGGCTAGCTTAACTCTGATAATAAAACCAAAGACATACTAATAAAGAACACTATAGACCAATGTCCTCATGAGCAAAGACAAAATCCTTAACAAAATATTAGCAAATAGAATCCAGCAGTAATAAAAAGAATAATAAATCATGATCAAATGGTGTTTATCCAAGGTATGCAAGGCTGGTTTAGAATTTGAAAATCAATATTATTCACTATGTTTGTAGATTTTTAAAAATTATAAGATTATCTTAGTAGATGGAGAAAAAGCATTTTACAAAATTCAATATCTATTCCTGGTAAAAACTCTGAGCAAACTAAGAATAGAAGGGAACTTCAATATGATAATCAAGGGCATCTACAAAAATCCTATAGTTAACATCATACTTAAGATGGCATTGCCAGAAAACCAAAATAAAAGAAAACTCTGAATCTGATGAAATCTCCTTTAGAGAAAATATAGAAGACAGGAACATGTTAAACAATTTCATGGGGATACAGTCAGTAAAATCCAAGTGGTGGGAAACTATAGAATAAGTATTCTAGCTTTTTTCAACAAATAAACTTTATGGGAAATAAAAAAATTGAGAGAGATAGAAGCAAAACTTACAGATTAAAAGAGACTTAAGAGTCATATTAACCAACTTCAATGTGTGGACCTTGATGGGATATCGATTCAGACAAATGATATGTACAAAAGCAAAACAAAAAACAAAAACCTCAACATTTGACATTTATGAGACAATGTGAAATCCAAACACTGATTGGATATTTGATATTGAGGTCTGATTGTTAATTTTTAAAACTATGTTAATAGAATTGTGGTTATGTTAAAAAGGACTCATTTTTAAAAATTTATAAATGAAATATTTTATAAATGAAATATTCAAAATCTGGGATTCACTTCAAAATTATACTGTGTTATAGAGGAATGATAGAAATATAGATGAAACAAGATTGGTGATGAGCTGAGCGTTGATGAAGCTGGTTGATGGATACAATCAGGGATTTGTAGGGGACTGACATATATTTTCCCAGTTTAAGAATTAAACCTTAAAATCTGTACCCCTATAATATGCTGAAATAAAAAAAAATACATAAAGAATTAAAGTTAGTGAATAATGTACATGTTCTGCCCAGAGCTTTGAAAGTAATCTGTTCCGGACAGGCTCCCTGTGATAAACAAAGGTGTTGCCTAGAGGCATAACAAAGGACCTGAGCTGTAACTAGCAAGAGCAGCCCCACCCCATGGCATTGGGGGTCTGGAAGCCACACAATAAACATATTGTTTCTGTGATTGCTGCGTACACCCCATAAGATGGCTGGTTAGTCAATGAGGGGTAAGACCCCTCAAGGGAGGGGCGACCTAAGCCGTGCACAGCCTCTGGGGTTCAGCTGAAGATCTTAGGGGGTCACCCTAAGAGAAGCTGGGGATGAGAAATGCCCCCTGTGGCTCACCTTGCCCATCCTTGCTAATCTTGGTCCTTTATTTATGCCTAGTGCCTAGAGCAACTGCATTGAAGTTCCGAGTCAGGGGATATCTGCTTCCCTAAGGCTATTCCAGAATTTATGGCTACTGCTACGCCTGGGTTACATACGAGGAACTAACTTTAATCTTTTAGAGTATAAAAATAAAATGGACCTGGTGTATTATTACTCGAGTCAACCGTCTGTATGTGTGTCTGCGTTTTTCTTTGTGTTCTGCGTGTTTGTGTTTTATGTTCTATGTTCATCCTCCGTCTTGTAAATGGGCCACGACAGGGATTTATTTATTCTTTCTCCTTTTGCATACATTTTAAAATTCTCACAATAAAAAATTAAGAAAAATTATTATAGCTATCAGTTATTGACCAAGTAATTTTGGGAGATTTATAAATATTAACATATTTACTTAGAGAAACAGTATAAGGTTTTTCAAAGATGGGAAAACTACGCGTTAGTGGTTAGAAATATAATATCATACAAATATATGTAAGTAGCAGAGCCACAATTTGCAGCCCACGTTTATCAGTGAGTTTCTTTTTTATTTTGCTGTACTACGCTGACTCCCGTATACTATGCCGCTTTGTCTTCCTGTTTCCTCTTGTGTTTTATGTTGATATTTATTTCAGAGAACTAGGAGGTCCCATTTTCAATCAGCCCCATTCATTGCCAGAAGCAATGACTACCTGTCATCCAACAAGGGGCAGGATGCAATAGTTTCCTTTTAGATTTAGAAGTCAGCATGTTTCCTCCCTTTTCCAGATTATTCTGAAAAAGAAAAACGCTATTTATGTAAGCAGAGAATTATTTCTTGAACTTTGTCTTTTCTGTCACTTTTACTGTTAAACTGACAATTGATCATTTTCCCCCCACTCACTTATGGGATGGAACCATGTTGACCTCAAATGTTGTCTTTATTGTTGGCATTCTTTAAAACTTTGTGAGATTTCTAATGCATGTAATTTTTACCTTTTTTTGTATTTTTTCTTTTACAGGCTTTGGTTGGAGAAAAGGCTTGTTATCAGTCCATAAGTAGCTATGGTGGTCAGATCTTTTATTTGGGAACAAAAGTAAGCTTTTTCACTTGGTGACTTTGGTGTTTGTGTGGATCAGGATAGTTGGGGCTGAAGGAGGTTGCTGGTAAAGAGGACACTGCATTGCAGAGTGAATATTGATCAGCAGTGATCTGAAACTTTTTGTGTTTAAGTAGTCATGATTTTTAGTTAATTTCTTTCCTTCACTTTTAGATGTATTTTTACTTTTGTTTAGGTGCTGACTAATAGGTAATAGGATGCTTATTTTCTTGATTTAAGGAGGTACTTTCATAAGCTTCCTTCACGTTTATATTTTCATGATCAGAGAGATACCTAATCGTGGATATTTGTCATGTAATTAAGATGGCCATTAGCTTAGATCAGCTTACTGCATGAGGCCTTTGACACAGAATCATTGGTGTAGGAACTTTTTGTATATCAAAATTGTTCCTGTGCTTTTTTTCAAAAAAATTTAATATGGAGAAACATTTCTTCATTATTAAAATTCAAGCAAAATATTGCCAAGTCAGTACAGGGAAATGAGCTTGGGCCTTTTTTGTTCCTTGTCCATGGAATTAATTACTTCTCGGGCTGTAGACTTACTGACTTTTAAGTGTTTGTTTGATTTCCTCTTTAATGTAGGTTCTTCAAGACCTGAATTCTAAGATATACTTCTAGTTGTAGTATGAAATATTTTTACCTAAAGAGATGTAAAATGAGATGTGGAACTGGAACAAATGTGTCTCCCAAACAATCTGTTAGAAATGATCAGTTTAATTTCCTTCTTTTTATTTTCCAGTCTGTTTATGTGATGATGCTGAGGAGCTGGAGAGAGGTGAGTTCAAAGTAATCTTATGTGTTAGAACTACCAAATTGATAGCATCTTAACACTTCTATTTTGACTGAACAAGATTATTTGGATTTGTGCTTTTTAATTTCAGAAGTATAAATCAAAACCATTATAACTGTTAGGCACTTATTTTGCTAAAACTGACTGTATAAGTTAGAGTTAGGTTTTGCAACATATATTAGAAAATTCAAAATAATAGTGGCTTAAACCAGATTTGTTTCTCTCATGTAAAAGCAATCTGGTGGTAGGCAGTCCGTGGCTTGTATGGGAGCTCTATGAGCTTTTAAGTATACTATCATATTCATTCTACCATCTTTTTGTTTGAATACCAGTCTCAAGGTCATTTTTTAGTCCAGAATGGCTGCTAGGGCTCCAGCTATTAAGTCCACATTCCAGGATGGAGGAAAGAGAAAATAAAGGCTGGTCTTTACCTTTTAAGGTGACATCCCAGAAGTAGCATACAACACTTCCATTTATCATTGGCCAGAGCTTAGTCACATTGCTCCAAGTGGCTTCAAGGGAGTCTTAGAAATGTCCTTCAGCTGGTGTATTGCTGTATCAATAAACTGTTTTTTTGTTTTGTTTTTGTTTTTGTTTTTACCAAGAAGGAGGGACTGAATGCTATGATAAATAACCAGCCATTTCTGCTATGGTGATAATCCAGCTGTTTTCCCTTTTTCATTTTTAGGCCCTGTGGCTCTCGATACTAGCCTATACAGTCTTTGTACTATCCAATCCTTTAAGAAATTATTTTTCTTGGAAATAAGATATTCATATAGTTATTGAAGTAGTTTTAGCTATTAAGAACTACTTCTGGAAAGATATTAGGTAGACTAGGAATTCTGACTGGTGATTGGTCAAAGGGACCTGGTATCTCTCATTTATTCATTTTAGAGAGTGGATCATCTCCTGAAACAGGATTGTCTTACAGAAGCCTTGGCTCTTGCATGGTCTTTCCATGAAGGAAAAGCAAAAGCAGTAGTGGGTAAGTAGACAGAATACCAGTGTGGTAGACCTTGTTTTTCTGGAGTAGAGGGAATGAACAATACTAATCACTCACAGAACTCTTTTAACTGAATGTTTAAGTATTTTATAAACACGATGTTAATAAACCTAATATACTTTCAGTAAAGAAGGTTGATGACAAATATAGGGTATTGAAATTAAAATGTTACTTTTAAAATTCTTTCAAAAGGAAAATTTACTATTAGAATAAACGGAAAGTACATTGATATGCTCTCTGGTGTGATGTGAGGTGTTTCTTTTATGGTGTATTATCCAACATTTTGATACCTAAGGATTGTTATAATTACATGTATTGTTAGCACAGGTTATGAATAGGAGATACACAGTTTCACTCCTAAAGATGTGGACTACCTTATTTTTTAATGGATTTTGCTTCTCTATAGGATTATCTGGAGATGCCAGCAAGCGAAAAGCTGTTGTTGCAGACCGGGTGAGTATTTTATTAAGAATAGGGTCTTTACTAGAGTGTAGTACAGATTTGTTTTTGCTATTAGCTAATATCTTCAGATATGAGTAGGTAAATGGCTACAATCAAGGAGAGAGTATATAAAAAACAAGTCAGGTTATAATTCCCTGGTGTCATCGTAATACTTTTTAAATTTCTTCTTAACCCCTTTTCTTTTTTCCCTTGCCCAGTCTCTTATGAAGATAATAAAGTAGTAAAATAGCCAAAAGACAGCAGAAAGGAGGAGGAAAATCTGGGGATCTGGGTAATTTCTGAACCAAATTAATGGCCCACAAAAAGTTGACATTTTTAGTTTTTATGAACTTTAATAGTAACTATGTTTAATAGTAATTATATTAATAGTAATTATGAGAAATACTATATATGTAAATGTTTGTGTTGCTGGAAGTAGCAGAGAGGGTTAATGTTTTAATGTTGTTAATTAGCATTAATCTGATTAATGCTAATATTTAATATTATCCTTCTGTTCCTGGTCTAGACTTAGTTGACTTCATTGACTATAGAATTTCCCTCCCTTTTGTTGTATAAATGCATTGGTAAAAATTATATTCCAAATTAGTATATACGTGTATAGAAAACTAGAGTGGAAATTGGTCACCCTTCAGACTCTGAATGATGTGCTAGACTGTGCTCTTCAGGGAAACTCCTACAGCAGAGGATTAATGAAGAGCTCAACTTTAATTTTTTATTTCCTAAGCAATGTAGATACTACTAAGGTCCAGAACATGAAGATATTTCTTAGGAAAGATTAGCAAATTAGTACCATCCCTGAGGCTGAAAGAAATTAGGCTAGGATTAAAAAAAAATTGGAGTACTAAAGACACTAAATATTTTAATTGTATTTTTAATATAACAAACCCTGATTCTGTATCATTAAATATTTAGGAGGGCCACATATATTAAATATTGAAAAATTTTAGAGATATATTTGAATTTCTATGCAAGGTTGTTTTCCTTACAGATGGTAGAAATCCTATTCCATTATGCAGATAGAGCTCTGAAAAAGTGTCCAGACCAAGGAAAAATCCAGGTGATGGAGCAGCATTTTCAGGTACACCTTTGCTTGTGCTTCTAATAGACAATGCTATGAATAGCTCTAATATACTGCTCTTCTATATTACATGAGAATGTGACTTTCATGGTTTAGTTGAACATTTTTTAGTATTCAAAACTTTACTGTAGCCTGTGGAATATTCTAAATGATTAAAGTTTGAAGTAATGGGTATACAGTCAACTGGAGACAGATGAGTAAAATGTTGTGGCATGATAGTGCTTAGCCACATAGTACTGTGTGGAAGAAAAGGAGATATATATGAGGGTACATACCTGTAAATTCACACCTTATAGTGGTTGACACCTTGTTGATGACTAACATTTATGTTAAGTAGGCTATTCAGAGAAGAGGTGTACTGCCAAGGTTTAAATTTAGTTCTCCTAGGAGCACCTGTGACTCAAGAATAGATCAGTTACAAAAAAAAAAAAAATTCTCTAAAATATGTTAATGAAAGACCTTTAGTTTATCCTGGAACTTAATGAAAATGAAAGCCAAGGAATATTTTAAAGACCTGTATAGTGTTTATTATATGGGTTTTACTATTTGTAGTGATCTCCAATTATATTTTTTGCAGATCTCTGTTTTTCTTTCCCCATCCCTATTGCTCCCTCCTCTTTCCCTACCTCCCCTTTTTTTGTTGCTGTATGGGGTACATGTGAAATTTTGTTACATGCATAGAATGTGTAAAGGTCTATACAAATTTTAGGATTTTTTTTCTATTTCTGTGAAAAATGATATTGGTATTTTGATAGGGAATGCATTGAATCTATAGATTGCTTTGGATAGTATAACATGATCATTTTAATAACATTTCTTACAATCCATGAGCAAGAGATGTCTTTCCATTTGTTTGTCTCCTCTTCAATTTCTTGCATTAGTGTTTTGTAGTTTTCCTTGTAGAAGTCTTTTACCTCCCTGGTTAAATTTATTCCAAAGTATTTTATTTTAATTTAATTTTATTTATTTTGTAGCTATTGTAAATGAAATTGCCTTCTTGATTTCTTTCTCAGCTATTTCATTGTTGGTATATAGAAATGCTACAGATTTTTGTATATTGATTTTGCATCCTACAACTTTGCTGCATTTATTCATCGGGTCTAAGAATTTTCTGATGAAGTCTTTAGGTTTTTCTAGATATAATATTATATCAGCTGCAAAGAAGGTCAATTTGGCTTCTTCTTTTCTAATTTAGATGCCTTTTATTTCTTTCTGTTGCCTGATTGCTCTGGCTTGGACTTCCAGTACTAAGTTGAATAGGAGTGGTGAAAGTGGGCATTCTTATCTTGTTCCAGGTTTTCTCCATTTAATATGATGTTGGTTGTGGGCTTGTCATATGTGGTCTTTATTATGTTGAGGTATATCCTTCTATGGCTAGTTTGTTGAGAGTTTTTATCATGAAGGGATGTTGCATTTTATCACAAGCTTTTTCTGTGCCTATTAAAATAATCGTATGGTTTTTGTCTTTCATTCTGTTGACGTGATGTATCACATTTATTGATTTATGTATGTTGAGTTATCCTTGCATCCCTTGGATAAATCCCACTTGATTATGGTCTGTTATCTTTTTGATATACTGTTGGATTCAGTTTGTATTTTCATTGAGCATTTTTGTGTCCATGTTCATCAGGGATATTGGCCTGTAGTTTTCTTTTTTTGTTGTGTCCTCGTCTGGTTTTGGTATCAGGGTAATGCTGGCCTCATAGAGTGAGTTAGGTAGAATTCCCTTCTCTTTGATTTTTTGAAATAGTTTGAGGAGAATTGGTGTTAATTCTTTGAAGATTTGGTAGAATTCAGCAGTGAGGCCATCCAGTCCTGGGCTTTTTTTGTTGGGAGACTTTTTATTACTGATTTAATCTCACCCTACTTTTAACAAATAGTTGAGTGGTCAGCAAACTTTTTCTGAAAAGAAACAGATGGTTAATTTTAGGCTTTGCAAGCCACAATGGTTTTTGTCACATTTTTCCTTCTTCTTTTTGTTTTTTGTTTCTTTGCTTTTTAAATAATCATTTAAAAATACAAAAACCATTCTTATCTGTGAACAATACAGAAACAGATTTTGTGTAGGATTTAGCCCATGGGCTAACGTGTGCGTTGCCTGATCTAACATGCACTAGGTGCTGGGCAGTAGTGATAAAATGTATAGCGTCCTTACTGTCTTAAAGTTTGCAGTCTAATCAAAATAATTTTTTGTTTACATTAATAGAAATATTTAGAAGAAATCTAGGGATTTTGGAGTTCTGAAGAGCAAGCACAGGTCCTATATTTTCATATCTCTATTTTATGCTCATAACTTTGGAAGGCAAGAATAAATATGGCAAGCAACAGTTGAGTGGTATCAGAGAGCATTTGGTTTCCTGGACTGTACTGTTTAATGCCACACTAGTGTGCTTCTGGTAGAGTCGCTGTCATTACTCTGTTTGGCTAGAGGCTTATTAAGTTTATCAATAGAGAAGGAAAAATAAACCCAGATAAAATTATAAAAATAAATAACATAGGAAGAAAACATATGGCAGAAAGAAAGCATTTGGAAACAAAATGGTTTGGGAACAATACCTTGTATATAAATATTTTTGTGTACTAAGGTGGTATAGATAGAGAAGAAAGCTTAATATTTTAACAAGAATATACCTATTACCAAGAGGTGGTAGGGTAGTATTTATGAAAGAACTCTGGCTATTGGAAGTTATACTTTATTGAAACAAAAAATGATAGCCAATAGGGAAAGCCAGAAGGGGAAATAGAGAGTGTGTGTAGAATATAGATACCACCATGTTGTTGGGGGGTGGGGAGAGGAGTGTGGTAGAGAACTTATTTCTTTCTAGGAGAAGAAAGGAACAAAAGTGATGTTCTGATGGAGAAATACTAAATCTCATATGACAGGAACTATAGATGATGGTTTCTGATACAGATTATAAAACTTCTAAAGAAACAGTAGTAGTAATCAACTAGATATCTATTAGAAGTCTCACTCTGATATCTGATAAAACTTTTGATTTATCAATGATTTAGTTTCATAGGCGATAAAAGAAACAATAGAGGGAACTATTATTCTGGACTCCAGTTTTTACTAATGATTGGAGAAGATACTAATGATTACATAGACTCTTGAGAGAAAAATTATTACTTTAATAGCTAAAATAACAATGAAAAATATATTGAGCACAAATCCTGTATTTTAGAAAGCGAATATTTTAGAAGAAAATATGCACACAATCTCAAGCCTACAGGTGCAAAAAAAGAATGGGTTCACAAGGAATAGGAAATTTTAAAATTTTGACAAGATAACCATGAACAATTCAAGGAGAAAATATTGTTGAGAGAAAGATCTGTCTGCAACTCATAGAATGTCTACAAATATGGAGAGAGGCAAGTATCATGAACCTCTAAGACTGTCAGAAAGGAGAATGGTGTGGTCCAGATTGTGCCTACTGAAATATGAAGGCGTACTCAGGAGAGATTTTTAAGAAAGATTCACTGAGCATATACTATGTGCCAGGTACTATGTAAAGTGTGTGACATTCATTTTTATTCTCACAACAACCCCATGGAGTAAATATTGTTTATATTCTCACTTTATAGAGGAGGAAATTTAGGCTTAGGGTTTAGGTTAAGTGACATTTCAAGGTAATATTGCTGGCAAGTGGTGGAGCCCAGGACTCAAATCCAGGTCTGTCTGATTTCAAAGCCTAACTTTTAACTAATCAGTATGCTATTAGTGTATTGTTGTTTTTAGAGCAAGCACAGGGAAAAGATGGCTGAGAACGGGTGATGTTAATAAATGATCAAGAATGATAATTGCAGCAAGCATCTTAACTATTTAATGCTTACTGTGTGGCAGGGACTGTTACAAACCCTTTATACATATTAACTCATTTAATTCATAAAACTCTGTAAGGTAGGTACTGTTTTTATTAGCACAGAGAGGTTAAATAACTTTTTCCAGGTCACACAGTATGAAGTGATAGAGCTGGGATTTGAATTCAAGCACTTGGGCTTCAGGGTTCACATCTGGACTGCTACACTATACCATAGAACAACACTTCTTAATTCGCCTCCATTTTCATGAGCACAGAGATTGGTTTTAAAGTGGAAAAGTCCAGATAAATATATTAAAGAAAAAAGGTGAAGCCCAGCATATGTAACATTAAGTTTTATTATGATTGTTCAAATCTCAAGACCTAGTGGATTATAACCCAGGGTGCTATTGGAACAATCTGAGCCAACAAGAATAATTTGTAAGGAACTTTGGATCAATTTTCAAATAAGGCATTCTTGAGTATGTGTGGATGCTTACACAGGGAAGACACAGTTTATTTTATTCAGGAGGACAGTTTTCTTCTAGAAAAGGTGATCTTTAGCACATTGGGATGAGTGAAATGCATACATGGTTATTTATAATCTTTTAAGTGTTTAATCATAAATATAATCATAAAATCATTACATAGGTTGACTCTTAAAGTGTATTTTTTTTAAAAGAAGAGTGGACTTAACTCTGCTGATAACCTCAATGTGGTTTGTGAGCACTTTTTATAAATTTACCTCAAAACAACCATGTCAAACTCATACAATTGCCTTTTTGAAGGGAATGTGAGGATAATATATTGCTGGAATGCCTATGACATAACATACTGATTTAGCACCTTTGTCTAATTTTTCCATTATCTTTGTGGCTGAAATATATTAGTAAATAATAAATGGATTTACAGCTAGATGACTACCCTTACCCAAAGAATATTATATAGTGGCTTAGTATTAATTGCATTTTAGGGCTCTTTCATACCCAAGCTTTTATCATTGGTTTGGATGAAGATTTAGTGACTGATTTGTCAAATTTAGATAATGGCAAGAATCAAGGTTCAAAATGATCTTGACAAGAAAGTGCAGTCAAAATCATTATGAGATGAAATTTAACAAGGATGAACATCAAGACTTAGATTCATTCATTCAAATAAATTTTGTTAGTACTAGATTGGGAGGATCTAGCTGGATAGGATTTT